TTTAATAGAGTGTAAAGGTAGAAGGAGAGGAGATGGTGACCCTGTCGAACGAGCTGTGGATACGACTGAGTGGATCAAAAAAGATGGTTATAAGGTAGTCAGCGAGTTGTCCTGCGGAGGAACACTAATTAACAGAGGCCTTCGTAGAATACCGCTCTCATATATCGAGCGAAGTTGGGCAAGTGCTACTGGCATCATTTGAGCAGACTGGTCAAATTGTTCCGGAAGATGAACATATCGAGCGCCCACTGGTCAGCAGAAAAAGAGAGCTGTACTTTTGTGGACAAATGAAGGAAGCTACAAAGGTTTCAATTACAGTGAAATGTTTTGTCAGCTCCGTGTATTGGGTGAAACTGACGAAACTCATCGAGAGGACTTGTCGATAGTGCGGGGCACGGATAATATGGAACAGAAACTGCACATAATAGGCCCCTGATGGCACTAAGTTCTTTTGAAAGAGACTTGAAAAGTGCAAGTTAACTAGGACTCAGAAAATGAGGACTCCCATCAGAAAATGAATGATCGCATGGTCTCAAAAAACATCAAAGAAACCGCGAAGTTTTTCAGTAGTGCAAATTCAAACAGTTTTTGCACCATGCGATCAATCATTTTCTGATGGAAATCCTCATTTTCTGAGTCCTAGGTAACTTGCACTTTTCACTACTCAAAAACTTCGCGGTTTCTGTTGTTTTTTTGAGACGAGGAGTCAATAAAGTCCAACCAACCAACATTGCTGAAAGTTCATTATATTTGCAGTAACACCCTAAAAAATGAAAGTCTTCTTTTTCCACAGTGTGTTCCTGAGCACCAAAAGTATATCCTGACAAAGAAGACTTTCCACTTCCACTCAATAGTGAACAACTTTCCACTTTTAATGAAAATTTTAGTTGCGAGTTAGGTTAGGAAAAAAAAGAAGGTTCCGTACTATCACATCAGCTGCGTGCTGGAGTAAAGATAAGATCAAACGCAAACATTAAGCACAGAGGCAAGGCTTCGCAGAAACTAGCGAAAATACGACAAAAAGAAGCCCTATTAGAACAGATGCCATGAAATTTCCAATGCTAGATAGTATTTATAGCAAAAGTTCCTCCAAACAAGTGAACTCTTTCCACATACAAATCTGTACAAATTGAAGAATTGTTTGGATAAAACTGATTGGAAAATTAACGATATAGATTATCTAAATGATTCAACAACAAATGAATTGCAATCCATTTTAGACAGGTTTTTTCTTATGAGAAAATATAATGCAGAGCCAAAATTTTTCCTAAGCCCCTGGTTTAGAGGCATGATAAAAACCTTGTTCGCAAAAGGCAAAAAATGCACACAATTTTCATGCGTACTAAACATAGAGCTGACAAGGTACGCTACAAAAACGTTCGAAATCAGACAAACAAACTGATAGCGAATACTCAAAAAGCATATCAGCGTGTTAAAATTGATAGACTACTGAAAGAAAAAAACAAGAAGTTCTTCAAATCTGTTAAGAGACTGTGTAAACCTAACAGAAAAATTAATGACTGTCAGTTAGATGCAGAACAAAAAAACGATTATTTTGCAAGCATAGGAAAAGACATGAGCGAAAAATTAGAAAGTGTTTCGTTTTCAACCAATATGCCAGAATTAACAAATTCCATGTTCGTTTTTCCCGAGTGAACTTCAGAATTTTTCGAAATAATCAAATCAGTAAATAACTCATCCGCTGAATCTGTGGACGGCATTAACAAATTTTTGAAACTTTAACCTCCCGTTTTATTCGAATGTTTATCTGTTCTTTTCAATAAACGCTATAGTCAAGGTTGTTTCCCCGCTTCTTTCAAAAATGCAAAATTGTTCCAATTCATAAGTCTGGCGTCTAGTCAAAGACATCTAATTATTGTCCAATATCTCTTCTGACTGCCCTGAGAAAATTACTAGAGAAATCAACATGCCTCAGAATAACATCTTTCATTGACAAGAACAAAAGCTTATGCGAAACCCAGTTTGGGTTTAAACAAAACTATTCATCGATCCAAGCCGTTCTAAAATTGACAGAGTTCATCAAGAAGAAAGTCGACGAGGTTTACAAAATTTGAAGCATTTTGTTAGATTTAAGTGAAGCTTTCGATACAGTCAATCACAAAATACTGATATATAAGATTAACTGTTTGGGCATCAGAGGAAATGTTGACCTGATAAACTCTTTTCTCAGTAAACGTAAGTAATTCGTTGCTATTGGGAAGAAAACTTCTAAGACTTCACATGTATCGATGGGGTTCCACAGGGTTCAATTTGGGGTCCTCAACTTTTCTTATGAAACATTAATGATATGGCGAGTTGTTTTTCGACACCAAATGCCTCTGTCGGTTTGTATGCAGATGATAGCTGTGTAACTGTTTGTTCCATTTACAAACAATGGGTGGGTTTTAGTGAAGGAAGTGCTTTCAAAAGTTTCCACTTGGTTAAAATTCAATCGTCTGAGTCTAAATATTTCGATCTAATTTTGTAAAATTTAATGCAAAACGCTCAAAAAACAAAGTTGTAATTGATGGAAACACAATAACAGAAAAGGATTGGGTCAAAAATTTAGGATTACATATAGATAATCGATTGAAATTCCAATACCACGTCTCAACTGTGTGCAACAGAATTTCGAAGTTGGTAGGATTTCTAAGATTTTCCAAACAATATCTAAATGAATCTCACAGTTTTAAGTACTATAATTGCTACGTTAAGCCAATTATAGAGTATGCTATAATAGTCTATGATTGCGTTTCTAAAAATGCTTTAGAACTTATTTTTAACTCCAAAAAATGCGCGGTGCACATAAATTACAAAAAACCGTTTGGGTTTCTCACTAATAGCTTGTTCCAGCAATCGAAAATATACATTATTTTTGAACTATATGCTCGTTAAATGTTACAATACACGGCAGAAACTATCCCACCTCGTAATTTTAACTCGGATTGTTTTTTTTACTCTCACATTTTAATTTTCGTATGCAACCTTCTTTATACTGTAGAACTGAAATAGGAAAAAAACGAAATGCATGCAGAACTCTTAAAGTTTTCAACAGTTTGCACGGACTAGAAAATTTGCCGTTGGCTAGCTCATCCCAATATATCAAAAAACGGAAACCTTAAAATATTTCAGACAACTATACACAAAGATCAAATGACGTGTACGAAGTTTTCTTCTAAAAACTTCGTTATTTGACGATAGAGTCATTTTTTTAATACGCAACTCAGCTGATTATTTTTAGCAGTTTCGAGGGTACCAATAATGTAACTTTTAACAATGGTTTTAATTTTAAATTTAATCTGTGCAAGTAGCAGAACAATGATGTAACTTTTCACAATGGTCTTATTTTGAACTTTATTTTGTGCAAGTAGCATACCAGTAAAAAGAGAACTTATTTGTAATGTCTAGCAATTATTTGCTGCCTGGTTATTTGATGTATTCAGTTAACGTTTTTTTTTTTACTTTCAATGAACACTTTTATTTGCGAGTCGGCTTGCAAAAAAGATTCGTACTAATACATTAGCTACTGGCTAGTGTAAACAAAGGAAATGTAGTTAACTTTTTGAAGTTATGTATCTTAACCACGACAAAAGTGATTTTACACTTGAACACGTTCGTTTACTATGTAAAAAAAAGACATCAAAAACGATTTTTTGACACAGACGGAAACATCTCTTGCTACCTACAGGTTGAGAATTAACTAGCAAACACTTTTACAAGCGCTACTTTACAAATGAACTTTGTAATTACAAGCAGTAGTTGATCGAAGTAAGCAAAAAAAACAGATATTACTAAAAGATGGTGGAACCCCTCATTTGCGAAACCCGAATGCGCGAAAATAAAAAAGATGGTGGAACCCCTCATTTGCGAAACCCGAATGCGCGAAAATAAAAAAGATGGTGGAACCCCTCATTTGCGAAACCCGAATGCGCGAAAATAAAAAGGAAAACGTGAAAAAAAGTAAACATTTCCAGGGACTAAATATTGATATTGGCCGAATATCAAAACGGCAGAAATATGCTAATTTTTTAAATTGTCATTGACCGCCGCCGAATTGGAACAAATTTTAATTTTCGAAGGTTTCCGATATTAAAATATTGCTTCATTTAATTCATTTTAATTAAATGGCAATTGATTCTTTTTAAAAACTCACTTTCAGCTAGTTTTGTTTTCGGACTTCCGCCCACGAGTTTTTCGCCCATTTGTTTCTTCGCGCATGAGAATAGCCCCCTAAAAGATTTCACCAACTGATTTGAGAGCGCAAAGCAATATTGCAAAAACAGCATAGAATTTTCAGTCTGAAAAAGGTACAGGCCCTGGCTGAGCGTCATGCCGAGACCTTTACCGTGCAAAACACGGACGCAACCAGAAGATAAGGAAAACACGCACACTCAGACTACACTTAAACCGGTCTAAAACATCTAAAAAATTTAAATATTTAATTTCATGAGCTTATTCTACAAACACAAAATGGAATTTTATATACAAAATTTAATGTTTTTTTCTATGAATATAAAATTTGAATTGGTAATTTGAAAACATTTTCTACAAAAGCCACAGCAAACTTCCGGCAACATTCATGCCAAATAGTGACGCCAGTAAACATCTAAAAGCATTAAACTATCTTTAGTTTCGAGAATAACAACTGCGACCACATTCAAAGCAGCTTCAAAGGGGCGTCGTTCTGTTAAGAAGCACATTAACAATAGCCAACTGACAGTTGGAAAAATGTCCATGAACTCCACAATCGAACAAAACGGCTGATTGTTTTGAAAGAAAATCTATGCTGTAACGAAGTTGAGAAAACTGGATCAATAGGTAGTTTTTTCATTCAGCTGGTAAATGTTGGAACTAAATCAACTTTCGAAAGTATAAGTCATTGAAACTTTTATTGTCACTTAAACTTTTGCTATCGGAGTGCTTATTTTGCGTTCCCTTTGGCAAATGATTTTTTCATTGAGCTTTGATTTTTTATTGAAATCAAAATTCAAACCGCAAAAAAATGAACATGGACAAACTATAAGAAAAAAAGGAGCAAAAAAGTTTGTTCAATTCGTTCATTGACACTTAAGCAGGCAGTTTATTTTTAGTGCAGAGTTCTCTTCTCGTAACTGTGTGAGGGCATGAGTTGCAATGAAGTGAGATGGAAGACAGGGAAGGGTGTTGTGTTGTGGAGTCACATGCGTTTAATGGGCTTCCAAAGGTGGTTGAGGATGGTGAACCCGTCCACTGACACTGACATTGTCTTAGAGGGAATACTGGAGAACGACTTGCAACCCGAATTGTATCTAAACAAACACAAACACAAACGCATCATGTCAATCAATATCATCTGAAATAATAGCCCAGTGTGGCAGCATTATAAACTTACAGATCGTTAATTTGACATGGATTTTCGAAAGACAATCAAAAAGATCTTCATCTAAGCAACAAAAGCCTCTTGCTGTAAACGTAACCTGGGTGCACTAATACAAAGGGGGGGGGGGGGTGTGTTGCGATTTATTGTGATTTTGCGGAAAACAATTGACGTAGAAAAACGGCTCACATAGGAATCCATTATTCGCACTAAAACAGACAATAGGTAAAAAAAGATTTTCCGCAAAGATTTTACGATGTAAACAAAAAATATAGATATATATTCAAATATTTATCGGAATATATGTACAATCAGCCTGAAAATAAATTTATATGATCGCAAGCGTATTTATTACACCCTTAAATTTACTGGAGATTTTTCGATGTCAGCTGAAAAAAAAACAGGGATAGCTGATTACTGAGCAAGTAGCACAGAATGTTCCGACCACAGCCTTAAAAGAATTTAAAAAATGGTTTTTTTTTTCAAATTAGTGTAGATTTTTCTGCATGTTGTGATAAAAAGATAGATCTGGACGAAAAAGAAATTATTTAGGCAGATTTGAGAGTCATAGTAAAAAAGGTCAATTGGAAAACAAGAAAAATGACTAGAAAAAAAATTGCATAAATTTTTTAAATTTTCAAAATTTTGGTTCCAAAAATTGCGCTTAAAACTCCAAAAACTACCTTTGCTAGAGTGAAACTAAGTTTTCTCGGCTTAAATTAAGCTTAAATGAGCTATTGTAAGCATACACGGTCACCTTATTAGCTCGAAACTAGACCAAAAATTTCAAACCGGTTTTTCTTGACACTGAGAAAAATTTCGAATTTTTCTAACCCCGTTTGAATCACGACTGAAAGAGCTGCAACATGAAGTATCACTCGACCCATTCCTATGATTATTTGTGGTACCTGATTTTGCGTGGGAAACAAAAAAAACTAAAACACCCGAATACAAATTTCCTCCCATTTTCAATTATCGGAACAACAACTTAATTTGATACACCACTCGAACTGTACGGTTTCTTTGTGTTACCACAAAAACATTAGTCAAACATATCAAGACTAAGTTTGAGCTCCTAGATCAAAGTTAGAGCAATGCTGTATAATAGCTCACAACTCCCATACTTAACGTCTATCGAGCAATAACAAACTACAACAACTAACTTGTAAAGCTCTGCAATCATGTCATCTTTAATCTGGTTCGGTCCAGTACCCTGTATCTTCAAGATCAACCCAGTGTCTGGCTCGTAAGAATACATTGCCCTGTACTTCATATTGTGGTCTCTGAACAGAAGCAGGAAGTTTTTGGTTTCCTCGTCGAGTGAGTTGATTTCGTGGATTACTTTTCCCTTCAGATCTGCGTTGACTGCACCCGGTAGCACACATTGGTTTATGGCATTGATGATGATCTGCTTGTTCCCTCTGGACTGAGGCTTCACGTAGAGTTTCAAAGCTAGAAATAATTGGCGATTTAACTTGGAAAAAAACTATATTTCATTGGTTCTTTATATTATCACTGCATTGTATGGACGAAAAATGGAAAGCCGCTTCCATCTATATTTAGCGAAGAAAAAAATCAAACTTCCTCAAATCGTTGAACATTATAAAGAACCAAAATGAATGCAGAGACGATGGACAAAGGTCAAAGTAACATCCACTAAGAGTCTACCCTTGAAAGTGAAGATTATAAATATTTCTTGATTGTAAATACATTCTTAATAAATTATTATGATTATTGTGATATTGTTATAAATTTTACTATCTATGTTGAAGAAAAGTCCTATATTTAACAATGTATCAAGATTAGCGTAAGGCTGCACTATGTAATCTTCTCGCCATGAACTTAGGCTTATGTTTATGACATTTAAAGAATTTAAAACTTTTTCTATAAAAAAATTCGAATTCTCAATCAATTTGAAATTGGAATTAAATAAAAATCTTAACTTACAAGCTCATATTTTCAGACCACGACGTAAGCGCAATACGACTTATACAGTATCATTATAAACTCAGCCAAAAGAAAAGAATTAGAAAAAATTCGAAGTGTTTCAAAAATCACTCAAATTTCACGCAGTGCCATTTCTCGAAAACTAAGAAGAGTTGAACGGCCATATATTCAAGACAGAATCACAACCACAAATGAGCTTTTAATAGCATTTAATCAACGGTTCACAACTTTGTTCTTTTAATGGGATAAATTTAGTGAATGAAATATAATTTGTCTATTGCCAAGCAAATCACTATTGCCAAGCATGCAATTATCATAAATTTATGAACAAACAAAATTCTTCCTTACTGGACACAAACACCAATTTTTCAGGAAGTAGGTTATTGACATCTATTAGGTTGAATAGCTTGGAACCTCTATATGTCAATGAGCATGACTTTCTTTTATAGTTACCGAATAGAAGGTCATACCTCCGAGAACTCGATTTTCTCGTATTATGAACGTACGCTTTTATTGAAAAAATTCAAAAAAGATGTCGGGTGTCGTTGATTCAAAGATCGGAAACTAAATTTCAGCACATCATACACGTAGATCTCATGAACAGTAAGAATTTAATTGTCGATAAATGTTTGAGTGATGCTCTCAAATTTTCTTTTGAAGTAAATCATTTAAAGACTTTTTCGTTGCATCATTAGAAGTTGGTTCAATATTGTATTACTTGTAACACCATATACCAACAAGCCATATTGCATGAAATGACTCTGCAAGGTCTACTCATTTTTGTTTTTACTTTTTGTAAATGATTGTGAAATGACAAGTTAGTATCAATTAAACACGAAGGTAATTGCAAACCAAGCCAGAGTTATATATTGTGTTTTGTATATATTGTGTTTTGAGGTTAGAGGCACTTTTACGTTTATCAAAACTAATTAATGTAGTTTTATCAGAGTTTAAAGTAAGTTTGTTGCAATTCAATCATGAAAATTTTTTAGAGCAGTCAAGCTGAAGCTTATCCAGGTATTTGCTGTTGCAAGTCACATAAGTATTATTAGCGAAAGGAAGGATATTAGCAATTTCGGCTGCAAAATGCATAATAGTGACATAATTGAAAAACAGAAGAGGACCAAGGACGGAGCCCCGTGGAACACCTGTAGCGATAGGTAACCAATCAGATGGAGCATCATTGACGCATACACATGGGTTTCTTTCAGGTAAGTAACTATGAAACCAACTACTATACTTACCTCGAAACCCATAGTTTCTAATTTAGATAGCAAAATTTTGTGATCAAGCGTATCAAAGGCCTTTTTTTAAAACAATAACAAAAATGCATTTTAACTTTTTATCGAAACCGAACCTTAAGAGCTCAGGCAATTCAGCTAAAGCATATACTGACTGTGCGATAGTGTTGACGAAACCCAAATTGACGTTCATAGAGCAGGTCCAACGTTTTCCAGATAATTCAAAATCACTCAAATTTCACGCAGTGCCATTTCTCGAAAACTAAGAAGAGTTGAACGGCCATATATTCAAGACAGATTCACAACCACAAATGAGCTTTTAATAGCATTTAATCAACGGTTCACAACTTTGTTCTTTTAATGGGATAAATCTAGTGAATGAAATATAATTTGTCTATTGCTAAGCAAATCACTATTGCCAAGCGTGCAATTATCATAAATTTATGAACAAACAAAATTCTTCCTTACTGGACACAAACACCAATTTTTCAGGAAGTAGGTTATTGACATCTATTAGGTTGAATAGCTTGGAACCTCTATATGTCAATGAGCATGACTTTCTTTTATAGTTACCGAATAGAAGGTCATACCTCCGAGAACTCGATTTTCTCGTATTGTGAACGTACGCTTTTATTGAAAAAATTCAAAAAAGATGTCGGGTGTCGTTGGTTCAAAGATCGGAAACTAAATTTTAGCACATCATACACGTAGATCTCATGAACAGTAAGAGTTTAATTGTCGATAAATGTTCGAGTGATGCTCTCAAATTTTCTTTTGAAGTAAATCATTTAAAGACTTTTTCGTCGCATCATTAGAAGTTGGTTCACTATTGTATTACTTGTAACACCATATACCAACAAGCCATATTGCATGAAATGACTCTGCAAGGTCTACTCATTTTTGTTTTTACTTTTTGTAAATGATTGTGAAATGACAAGTTAGTATCAATTAAACACGAAGGTAATTGCAAACCAAGCCAGAGTTATATATTGTGTTTTGTATATATTGTGTTTTGAGGTTAGAGGCACTTTTACGTTTATCAAAACTAATTAATGTAGTTTTATCAGAGTTTAAAGTAAGTTTGTTGCAATTCAATCATGAAAATTTTTTAGAGCAGTCAAGCTGAAACTTATCCAGGTATTTGCTGTTGCAAGTCACATAAGTATTATTAGCGAAAGGAAGGATATTAGCAATTTCGGCTGCAAAATGCATAATAGTGACATAATTGAAAAACAGAAGAGGACCAAGGACGGAGCCCCGTGGAACACCTGTAGCGATAGGTAACCAATCAGATGGAGCATCATTGACGCATACACATGGGTTTCTTTCAGGTAAGTAACTATGAAACCAACTACTATACTTACCTCGAAACCCATAGTTTCTAATTTAGATAGCAAAATTTTGTGATCAAGCGTATCAAAGGCCTTTTTTTAAAACAATAACAAAAATGCATTTTAACTTTTTATCGAAACCGAACCTTAAGAGCTCAGGCAATTCAGCTAAAGCATATACTGACTGTGCGATAGTGTTGACGAAACCCAAATTGACGTTCATAGAGCAGGTCCAACGTTTTCCAGATAATTCAAAATCGCTCAAATTTCACGCAGTGCCATTTCTCGAAAACTAAGAAGAGTTGAACGGCCATATATTCAAGACAGATTCACAACCACAAATGAGCTTTTAATAGCATTTAATCAACGGTTCACAACTTTGTTCTTTTAATGGGATAAATCTAGTGAATGAAATATAATTTGTCTATTGCTAAGCAAATCACTATTGCCAAGCGTGCAATTATCATAAATTTATGAACAAACAAAATTCTTCCTTACTGGACACAAACACCAATTTTTCAGGAAGTAGGTTATTGACATCTATTAGGTTGAATAGCTTGGAACCTCTATATGTCAATGAGCATGACTTTCTTTTATAGTTACCGAATAGAAGGTCATACCTCCGAGAACTCGATTTTCTCGTATTGTGAACGTACGCTTTTATTGAAAAATTCAAAAAAGATGTCGGGTGTCGTTGGTTCAAAGATCGGAAACCAAATTTTAGCACATCATACACGTAGATCTCATGAACAGTAAGAGTTTAATTGTCGATAAATGTTCGAGTGATGCTCTCAAATTTTCTTTTGAAGTAAATCATTTAAAGACTTTTTCGTTGCATCATTAGAAGTTGGTTCACTATTGTATTACTTGTAACACCATATACCAACAAGCCATATTGCATGAAATGACTCTGCAAGGTCTACTCATTTTTGTTTTTACTTTTTGTAAATGATTGTGAAATGACAAGTTAGTATCAATTAAACACGAAGGTAATTGCAAACCAAGCCAGAGTTATATATTGTGTTTTGTATATATTGTGTTTTGAGGTTAGAGGCACTTTTACGTTTATCAAAACTAATTAATGTAGTTTTATCAGAGTTTAAAGTAAGTTTGTTGCAATTCAATCATGAAAATTTTTTAGAGCAGTCAAGCTGAAACTTATCCAGGTATTTGCTGTTGCAAGTCACATAAGTATTATTAGCGAAAGGAAGGATATTAGCAATTTTGGCTGCAAAATGCATAATAATGATATAATTGAAAAACAGAAGAGGACCAAGGACGGAGCCCTGTGGAACACCTGTAGCGATAGGTAACCAATCAGATGGAGCATCATTGACGCATACACATGGGTTTCTTTCAGGTAAGTAACTATGAAACCAACTACTATACTTACCTCGAAACCCAGAGTTTCTAATTTAGATAGCAAAATTTTGTGATCAAGCGTATCAAAGGCCTTTTTTTCAAAACAATAACAAAAATGCATTTTAACTTTTTATCGAAACCGAACCTTAAGAGCTCAGGCAATTCAGCTAAATCATATACTGACTGTGCGATAGAGTTGACGAAACCCAAATTGACGTTCATAGAGCAGGTCCAACGTTTTCCAGATAATTGTATGATCTAAAGCGCATTACCTTTTCAATAATTTCACTGCCGCTATTGAAGACGACGATATTGGTCGGTAGTTGTTCAAATTCACTTCTCTCTCAGATTTAAAAAGAGGCAACACTTTTGCGTACTTCAGTGAAATAGGAAACAATCCAGTTTTGAAGGAAAGAGTAGTTTAAAATAGGTTGAGAGCAATAATGAAGCAACTAATTAGTAAAAAAATATATGTTGCTTATTTCATCAATGCCGCAAGTATATTTCGGTTTCCAGTTATGAATAATACTGATTATTTCATGCAACGATCTGTCAGCAAGATACATTAAACGATTTGCACTTTCAAAAAGAAAACTAATATCAACACTTTCAATATAATCTGCGAGCTTTGATCCATTAAAGGTAAAAAAAAACTCATTGAAGGTATTGGCTATTTCAGTTGCATCCGAAATGGTTTTTTTCCTTCGTGACTAATAGCAGAAACTAGAAGACGCTCTGGCGTTTTTTCCGGTTAATTCATTCAAAAATTAAAATAATTGTCACGAGTCTCTTATGCAATTACTGAACTTGATGTAACAGAAATCTTTTTTTTTGATCTTTAGTTCGTGAGTAAAGGTATTTATTTTAACACATTTCGACAATTACTAAAACTGATTCCTCTTAGGAATATCATTTCTCAACTTTCTGTTGAACCATGCTGCATTTGCTTTCTTCTTTTTTATGGACTTTATTAAAAGAGCAAAATTATTTAGAGTAAACAACAGAAATTCTTAAATTCATCGTAAGCGATATCAACGTTGTCCAGATTCACAATATACAAACTTTCCAGATTGACTTTCAAGACTGCTTGAAATTCGCTGCTTTATTTAAACAAAAAACGACATATCGCGACAGAAAAGGTGTGATAATTCTCGTAAGCTACTTGTTTCAAATTTCAATAATATTGAACAATGATCAGAAAAAACATTCATTCTCAATTATGCTAATGGTGGGAAAATCAATTTTTCTGACTATGAAATGGCAGATTTTTTGAAGAGTTCAAAACCATTGGCACTCACTACAATTAAACACGATATTGAACAATGATCAGAAAAACATTCATTCTCAAGTATGTTAATGGTGGGAAAATCAATATTTCTGACTATAAAAAGGCAGATTTATTGAAGAGTTTAAAACCATTGGCACTCACTACAATTAAACACGATGTATTCAGTTTCATTTTTTGTAGTAAATTCATGTTGAAGTACTCTGTTACAATGACTGGTACTTCGTTAAAAGTTTCAATTCCTTGTCTAAATCTTCAAAAACAATTCCTTGTCTAAAAACAATTTTATTCTATCATACCTAGGTGGTACATATGAGACTACAAAGAAAAGTCATCTCCCGGAAAACTCGGAAAAAAACAGCTATTGATTCAGGTAAACTAAAATCCAATTGGTCAACTAGGAACATAGCCAACTAACAGGAAAAGAGTAATCAACGCAAGGAAATTGTAATTATTGAATTGCAAAGAAAAAAAATAGATGTCCTTTGTAGAACTGATGGATACTTTTTAAAATTAACCCAATTTGTGAAAACTGGATCAATAGGCACAACTTTTATTTCGGATAAATCTGATATTAATTTCATTTTCGAAATCAGAAGTCAATCACGTTTTAGGTGACCTTTACACTGCTGTTCGATAGTGGAGTTTGCCTACCGCAAAAAGTCAAACCGCAAAAAATCAAAACTCAGCGTGAACAAGTTTGTAAATTTTTTAAGGGAAAATCCGAAAGACCTATATAAGAGTACTTACTACTTTCATTACTCTTAAAAAGAAACGAAAAACATACAAAAAGTATGCAAAAATGATGACAATTTTTTTTTCTGAAACAATTAAATTGACAATTCAAATTCAAACTTGACAATTCAAATGGAAATGCACTGAACTTAAAAAAAATCACAAGTAAAACCGCGAAAAATCAGAATTGAGCGTGAACAAATTTTCAGTCCCTTGTCTAAAAAAATCAAAAAAAAATTAGCAAGACCTATATAATAGTACTCACTACGTCCATTACTCTTAATATTTCGATCATTCAATTGTACCATTATTCCTCCTCCTCTAGTAAATCTATTATTGGCTATTATTGAGTTGAAGCCGGTTATTTTGTGAATTTCTATATTATCATTATCACTAAACCAAGTTTCTGTAAGAGATTAAAATTTGTACTGGAGACTTGAGACTATTAAGAAATGCTTCTATATCCTCATGGTGTATATTATCGACCAAACATCTGACAACAAAAATGATATAAAATAGTATTAGCACAAGAACGACGAAGATTGAGGTTTCTGTTCCTTCTTGACTGGATGGTAGGCCAAACATACTATTAAAACAAGCTGCCACGTCAACAATTAGATAGTTCCCAAATTTTTCTCCGTCGTACACTTTGAATGGGATAAATTTTTCTATCTTCGTTCCACAGAAAATGAATGGTCCATTCTCTCGTCCAGCATGAGCTGATTCTGCTATCATTTTCATCATACTTCATCATCGGTCTTGATGTGTTCAAAAATCTGTACATTCTGAAATTGGCCACTATTCGTGAGACTTTTCTCTTTATATATTTGACTCAGCTAGATTTCGAAGGAAGTCGGCGGCCTATAGATATACCTCTTTTTTCTATACCAGCGTCTAAATTGCCTAAAATACTCAGAACTGTTTCCATTGCTTCTCAATTTTTTCCTCGTTCTTGTGTTTCGGGAGCTTCTAAAATTTTAACACTATCACGCCTGGAAATTTTTTTTAGCTGCTTCGTTGCTCTGATTCACATTGGGTTTTTAGGTTGTTTCGAGTCTCCATTTTGTTCATGCCAGTAGACATAGTTTTGAAAATATATTCTTTGATCCCACTCAATGCCTGGTCGATTGCAGTTTTGAGCATGGTTGAGATTTCCTTCTTCAGTTGATGAGTGATGGATGGCACCAGCTCTTTCATTGCCAAAGTATTAGTATTTTCTATCTTTTTGGTCAAATTTTTTCATCTGCATTTTCATTATCCTCCGTGCATGAACTGAGACATATTTTCGATCTTTTATTGTCAGGTTTCGTGATAGGGGTTTGATCATGAAACCATAGGGCTGCATTGCTACATTGCATTGTCATTAGTCGAAGTCATTACCAGTCTCTGAAGCTATTTAATAAGTTTATCACAACAATTAGGCTAAATTTCACACCGCAAAAAACTGTGATTTTGCGATAAAAAAAATCCGAAATTATACAAAACATTTTATCTTTTCGCTCCCTCAGCGCAGAAAACTATCGCAAAACACGGTCCTTCTTGGAGTTCAGAATAGAAATTGCTGATTGCCTGAAATTGCTTATTGCGTGCATTATTGCCAATATCAATAAAATTACCTTGCATGCCACTAAGCACGATCAGAGTTTATGAACAAAAACTTACGTGTTCCGGACAACGTAGATGCAGCAGGAGCAGCTGGCGTATGAGATCTGTCACCTCTGGCCTCATCAGCTGCCACAGAATGGTTTCTGTTCGACATTCCATTCGATGAATTCAAATCTGGAAAAATTATCTTTGGATCTTTAGGTTCACTTAGAACATTGCAGCAATATTCCCCATTTGCTACAGAAAGCACTTTTATCAGGACTCGGATCAATCTTTTTATTCTAAATATTTTGTTGTTTTGCTTACAATTGAGACCTTGACTAGACGCTGAATTCTTCACTCTGGGAGCCACTTTGGCCTTCGGTCTCCTCGGATGAGTGTTGGTTGTGGCGGCAGCTGCAGGTGGCTTCCAGTTGGACTCCTGCTTGTCCTGCCTGCTTCTGTTCTTCATGGCCTCTATGTTCTCATCCACTTCTGCACTCATCTTGTCTTTTAGTTTCTCCTGTCGACGGTGACTGTCTATCTCCAGCTGCAACTTCCTGCACCCAAAAAATACCCATCTTTTCAAAAACGTACCAATTTTTTATCTTAAAAACATTATTCTAAATCTTAAGGATTGGCACTTTTTATTATTAAAGCAACCCAATTCGATAACGCTGATTCAAGAGGTATTTTTTCATTCCGCTGGAAACCTGAAATCCAAGTTCAAAACAAAATGTTTTTTTTTGCACCATTGTCATTTCCGTAATCCAAGGGCGTAATTTGCCTCCCCTTAGCTGATGAATTTGAATTGAAATTCAAAAATGTGAACAACCCGGCAAAACAAAAAGTTCTGTAGCTTTAAATTAAATGATTATTGACGAAAAAAACATTTCTGCAAGCTTTCAACTTTTTGCGAGCAAAATTCTGCAAATAAAGACGAAACTTCCAAAAAACATGCAAATAAGATGATTTAATATATGTGACAAATTTTTTTTTCTGAAACAATAGACTTGACAATTCAGTCAAATTGTACGAGATTTCTGATATTGAAAATAAATTCTTTCACGAGATGAAATGAATCACAGAAAATAATTGCAAGAGGAAAATAAAGGACTTAAGAAGAGACATGGACCGACTGTTTCTGGCGGATCGAATCTTGGACTGATTGCATATTTACCTCTGCTGTTCTTTAAGCTTCTCCTTTTCGGATTTCATGGACTCCTCTCGTGTCTTCTGGTCTGCCCTCAACTTCTCCATACGCTTCGTCAGCATCAACTTCTTTTTGGTCTCATAGTCGATGGGCTGAAAAACAATGAAAGTTCAATTCTTCCACTTCAATACAAAATACAATTAATCAGCAACTGCCCAAAAAGAAACCAATTTTATAGCATTTTCTTCCATTTTTCCAGGAGTTCTGAGAACAATTAAATGCAAGAATCTAGCAAAGACTATTTTCTAGAGGTTTTTTATTGCTTACTTGAAAGGTTGACCCCAAACTTCTTTTACTATCAAACGGTAGCTCTCATCCCAACTTTTCCCCTAACTTTAAGCGTATCCAAAAAAAGTTTTGATTCTCGCTCTGAGACGCCTGAAAACAGGCTTAATTTAATCTAAGGGCGCTCTCTCAAGTGATGTTTTTTTAAAAGAGTTCCTCAATTAGAATTCTGTACGTGCAATGACTCACTTGGAAACAATTTATTATTAGTAGTATTATTATGGCTCAATGCTTCTCAGTTGATGCTATAAACTGTTTCGAAGGTTTCAATCACTGATCAGAAATAGGAACACTTATTCCATTTAAGGTACCAAAAATGACTAACTTTTCTGCATAGTTTGAATTTATTAGCTGCAATGCCTACCTTCATCACATTTCCCTCCTCGCCAATGATGAGAGCCACTCCACTAGGAGGTACCCTGGAGCTCGCCACTCCTCGCTCCTCGTCGTCCATCTCATCTCCAGCCAAACTGTTATCTGTACCTGTGCTGTATCTCTTCGAATTACGGTTGCTGGCAGTCTGCTGCTGATTCCTGGAACTCCTCCTTCGTCTTCTCTCCGCCACAGGCGAGGCTGTTTCTCGCTCCGAGTAGCGTCTGCTGTCCCCCCATGTATTATTGACATTCACTAGTTCTGCTACTCCATACGGTGCCTCGAGAGTGTCCGCTTCTGAAATGATCAAACATTTTCTATATCACACTTTACACACAATCTCCATTTATGTCACACAAAATCGCAATACTTTCATTCATAAGTCAAATAATGTTTTTGCAGAGTTGCATAAAAATCTGATTTATATTCTCGATTGTTTTAAATTCCGTTTTTATAATCATACCTTGATTTTTAATCAAAACATATTTTGTTTCAAGAATCAATCAACTTGCGTGAATTAACTGATGCAGCAATTAACTGAGTACAAATTGAAGGTATGCGAACAATTCCGTAATCAATGTAAATACTGCATGGCTGCCTTGCATGTTTACCACTGCACTCAGCAGGATGACGCAAGGAACAGCGCAGTTCATTTTTTATTCGATTCAAATCAGGTTGATTTTAGTCATGCAACCCTGTTATTCTTTCAAAATATTCTAAGACAACTTCAACTCACACTTGAACCTTTCAAGCTGAAGCTATTATCGTTTTTGTTTCGACCATTGAAAATGAAAATGGGAACAACTTTCTACTCGGGTGTACTGTAGTTTTTTTTGTTTTCCATGCAAAATCAGGTACCAAAAATAATCACAGGGACGGGTCGAAAGATATATCATATTCAAATATGCCAAGCAAAACATTTCAAATTCAAATTAGCAGCCGAACAAAACTTATGAAGCGGAAAGGCCGACAGTCTTTAAGCAGACACCAGTTCAGTCGGAAAAACGGATTTTGTAAAAACTTTCATAAGTTTCAAGTAACCCTGAAACTACCCTACAGTAGGTAGTTATTACGTAGTGGTTATCTCTATGCCAGGTTTGTCGGATGACAGCACGTGAGTGGAGGGAGTGCACGTGAAAAAAGTCTAGTGATTTTGTTAAACTAGTAGTTAACCCGAAAACAGTCTATTCCAATTTGATAACGCTTGTTAATCGCAAGCGTGATCATTTTAAGTCCTTTTCAGTCCTGATTCGAACGACAAAAAATCAGTTTGAAATTTTTGAGTTTTGTTCTGATTTTAAGCGACTAAAGCTAGCTGTCTTATTCTAGAAGGAAAATTCATAATACTTTAGTTTCACTACGCTAAAACTATTACTTTTTAAAACTATTACTTATTAAACTTCAAAAAATTCAAACCGATTTCTGCAAAAAAATTGAAAAATTACAATTTTTCGATTTTTTTAAGTCAATTTTCGAGAAAAACCGTTGCACGATTTGTCTATTCTTTTGTGACTGTAGAATATTCCTAAAACTAAAATTTATGTTTTCCTCAGGTGCTTTTATTAACCACGCATAAAAAATAATAATATGAAAAAAACTTAACATTTTCTAGAAGAAAATGGTCGGATTATTCTGTGTTACTTACTTGCACGGCAACCGGATACCCTTGTTTAAAAGTGGAAATGATCCGATAAATGCTGGAAGGCCTCAATTTTTTTTCGAGAAATCTGTTTCTTCTGCATTTTCATTATCCTCCGTGCATGAACTGAGACATATTTTCGATCTTTTATTGTCAGGTTTCGTGATAGGGGTTTGATCATGAAACCATAGGGCTGCATTGCTACATTGCATTGTCATTAGTCGAAGTCATTACCAGTCTCTGAAGCTATTTAATAAGTTTATCACAACAATTAGGCTAAATTTCACACCGCAAAAAACTGTGATTTTGCGATAAAAAAAATCCGAAATTATACAAAACATTTTATCTTTTCGCTCCCTCAGCGCAGAAAACTATCGCAAAACACGGTCCTTCTTGGAGTTCAGAATAGAAATTGCTGATTGCCTGAAATTGCTTATTGCGTGCATTATTGCCAATATCAATAAAATTACCTTGCATGCCACTAAGCACGATCAGAGTTTATGAACAAAAACTTACGTGTTCCGGACAACGTAGATGCAGCAGGAGCAGCTGGCGTATGAGATCTGTCACCTCTGGCCTCATCAGCTGCCACAGAATGGTTTCTGTTCGACATTCCATTCGATGAATTCAAATCTGGAAAAATTATCTTTGGATCTTTAGGTTCACTTAGAACATTGCAGCAATATTCCCCATTTGCTACAGAAAGCACTTTTATCAGGACTCGGATCAATCTTTTTATTCTAAATATTTTGTTGTTTTGCTTACAATTGAGACCTTGACTAGACGCTGAATTCTTCACTCTGGGAGCCACTTTGGCCTTCGGTCTCCTCGGATGAGTGTTGGTTGTGGCGGCAGCTGCAGGTGGCTTCCAGTTGGACTCCTGCTTGTCCTGCCTGCTTCTGTTCTTCATGGCCTCTATGTTCTCATCCACTTCTGCACTCATCTTGTCTTTTAGTTTCTCCTGTCGACGGTGACTGTCTATCTCCAGCTGCAACTTCCTGCACCCAAAAAATACCCATCTTTTCAAAAACGTACCAATTTTTTATCTTAAAAACATTATTCTAAATCTTAAGGATTGGCACTTTTTATTATTAAAGCAACCCAATTCGATAACGCTGATTCAAGAGGTATTTTTTCATTCCGCTGGAAACCTGAAATCCAAGTTCAAAACAAAATGTTTTTTTTTGCACCATTGTCATTTCCGTAATCCAAGGGCGTAATTTGCCTCCCCTTAGCTGATGAATTTGAATTGAAATTCAAAAATGTGAACAACCCGGCAAAACAAAAAGTTCTGTAGCTTTAAATTAAATGATTATTGACGAAAAAAACATTTCTGCAAGCTTTCAACTTTTTGCGAGCAAAATTCTGCAAATAAAGACGAAACTTCCAAAAAACATGCAAATAAGATGATTTAATATATGTGACAAATTTTTTTTTCTGAAACAATAGACTTGACAATTCAGTCAAATTGTACGAGATTTCTGATATTGAAAATAAATTCTTTCACGAGATGAAATGAATCACAGAAAATAATTGCAAGAGGAAAATAAAGGACTTAAGAAGAGACATGGACCGACTGTTTCTGGCGGATCGAATCTTGGACTGATTGCATATTTACCTCTGCTGTTCTTTAAGCTTCTCCTTTTCGGATTTCATGGACTCCTCTCGTGTCTTCTGGTCTGCCCTCAACTTCTCCATACGCTTCGTCAGCATCAACTTCTTTTTGGTCTCATAGTCGATGGGCTGAAAAACAATGAAAGTTCAATTCTTCCACTTCAATACAAAATACAATTAATCAGCAACTGCCCAAAAAGAAACCAATTTTATAGCATTTTCTTCCATTTTTCCAGGAGTTCTGAGAACAATTAAATGCAAGAATCTAGCAAAGACTATTTTCTAGAGGTTTTTTATTGCTTACTTGAAAGGTTGACCCCAAACTTCTTTTACTATCAAACGGTAGCTCTCATCCCAACTTTTCCCCTAACTTTAAGCGTATCCAAAAAAAGTTTTGATTCTCGCTCTGAGACGCCTGAAAACAGGCTTAATTTAATCTAAGGGCGCTCTCTCAAGTGATGTTTTTTTAAAAGAGTTCCTCAATTAGAATTCTGTACGTGCAATGACTCACTTGGAAACAATTTATTATTAGTAGTATTATTATGGCTCAATGCTTCTCAGTTGATGCTATAAACTGTTTCGAAGGTTTCAATCACTGATCAGAAATAGGAACACTTATTCCATTTAAGGTACCAAAAATGACTAACTTTTCTGCATAGTTTGAATTTATTAGCTGCAATGCCTACCTTCATCACATTTCCCTCCTCGCCAATGATGAGAGCCACTCCACTAGGAGGTACCCTGGAGCTCGCCACTCCTCGCTCCTCGTCGTCCATCTCATCTCCAGCCAAACTGTTATCTGTACCTGTGCTGTATCTCTTCGAATTACGGTTGCTGGCAGTCTGCTGCTGATTCCTGGAACTCCTCCTTCGTCTTCTCTCCGCCACAGGCGAGGCTGTTTCTCGCTCCGAGTAGCGTCTGCTGTCCCCCCATGTATTATTGACATTCACTAGTTCTGCTACTCCATACGGTGCCTCGAGAGTGTCCGCTTCTGAAATGATCAAACATTTTCTATATCACACTTTACACACAATCTCCATTTATGTCACACAAAATCGCAATACTTTCATTCATAAGTCAAATAATGTTTTTGCAGAGTTGCATAAAAATCTGATTTATATTCTCGATTGTTTTAAATTCCGTTTTTATAATCATACCTTGATTTTTAATCAAAACATATTTTGTTTCAAGAATCAATCAACTTGCGTGAATTAACTGATGCAGCAATTAACTGAGTACAAATTGAAGGTATGCGAACAATTCCGTAATCAATGTAAATACTGCATGGCTGCCTTGCATGTTTACCACTGCACTCAGCAGGATGACGCAAGGAACAGCGCAGTTCATTTTTTATTCGATTCAAATCAGGTTGATTTTAGTCATGCAACCCTGTTATTCTTTCAAAATATTCTAAGACAACTTCAACTCACACTTGAACCTTTCAAGCTGAAGCTATTATCGTTTTTGTTTCGACCATTGAAAATGAAAATGGGAACAACTTTCTACTCGGGTGTACTGTAGTTTTTTTTGTTTTCCATGCAAAATCAGGTACCAAAAATAATCACAGGGACGGGTCGAAAGATATATCATATTCAAATATGCCAAGCAAAACATTTCAAATTCAAATTAGCAGCCGAACAAAACTTATGAAGCGGAAAGGCCGACAGTCTTTAAGCAGACACCAGTTCAGTCGGAAAAACGGATTTTGTAAAAACTTTCATAAGTTTCAAGTAACCCTGAAACTACCCTACAGTAGGTAGTTATTACGTAGTGGTTATCTCTATGCCAGGTTTGTCGGATGACAGCACGTGAGTGGAGGGAGTGCACGTGAAAAAAGTCTAGTGATTTTGTTAAACTAGTAGTTAACCCGAAAACAGTCTATTCCAATTTGATAACGCTTGTTAATCGCAAGCGTGATCATTTTAAGTCCTTTTCAGTCCTGATTCGAACGACAAAAAATCAGTTTGAAATTTTTGAGTTTTGTTCTGATTTTAAGCGACTAAAGCTAGCTGTCTTATTCTAGAAGGAAAATTCATAATACTTTAGTTTCACTACGCTAAAACTATTACTTTTTAAAACTATTACTTATTAAACTTCAAAAAATTCAAACCGATTTCTGCAAAAAAATTGAAAAATTACAATTTTTCGATTTTTTTAAGTCAATTTTCGAGAAAAACCGTTGCACGATTTGTCTATTCTTTTGTGACTGTAGAATATTCCTAAAACTAAAATTTATGTTTTCCTCAGGTGCTTTTATTAACCACGCATAAAAAATAATAATATGAAAAAAACTTAACATTTTCTAGAAGAAAATGGTCGGATTATTCTGTGTTACTTACTTGCACGGCAACCGGATACCCTTGTTTAAAAGTGGAAATGATCCGATAAATGCTGGAAGGCCTCAATTTTTTTTCGAGAAATCTGTTTAAGTGATATGGATAGCCTATGCTGTGCAAGTAGCACAGAATATTCCGACTACAATGATTGAAGTAGAAATTTAACATTTTTTTCATTTTTTTTTTCATTTTAATTTCTTAGTTTTTTTTTAGTAAAGGGCAATGAAATTAGTTTCATGTTCATGATACGATATAAGAGCTGGATTAATGCATAAATAGCAGGACAATTAAATTGAGAGGTCATTTACAAATGAACCTGATCGTTCCATTTGCAAATTTCGTGTCATTTAGGCTGAAATACGGAAAAATTGAGACCAATTTTATACGACAGAGACAAATTTGAAATTTTCTGTATTCCGAATCATCAGTCAAAGGATTTTCTTGAGGTAGCAAAAAGTGGGCAAAAAAACTAGATAATCCATAGTTCCTTCCCGAACTCTTATTATTTCCTAACCGTTCCTGAATGAATTGACTCTGGCATTCAATCTGTTATTCTCTTGATGACTCTGTCTTCCATGTGAGTATTCACTCTCCTCCTGGTCTGGATGAAATGCATCGTCATCTTGGTTCGCCCCTATGTAACTCTGATTGTCGTCTTCATTCGCTGGCGGCTCTATAGTCTGGAATGAGTTGGAATTTGAAAGCGTATTTTGAGGTTCATCTGAGAGAATCGTCTGACTTCCCATCGGAGATGACTGAAGCATCACTCCTTCTCCTCCTCCTAATCCGCCTCCTAATCCCGGTTGAACAGTGCCTCCGGAGAATGTTGAGTTGGTCATCATTCCACTAAAACGATTCAACTGTTGCTGACAAAACCCCTCTTAAGCTACGAAGAAACAATGATCTAAAAGGAAGATTTAACCTGAGGCGAAAAATGGAGTTTAGTAATCTGAGAGTCATTCCGGATGATAAACTCATTCATTCAAACATTCCCATCGTATCTTTAGTTGTTAAGTGTAATGTAAACATAAAAACCACAACTATCTAAGCGACAAATCTCATTGCAAAAACATGAATCATCGCAGATTCAGAAGAAGGAGGAAATAAACGTACTGGTTGTAATTCATTTGTGAATTGTCAAAGTTCTGCTGTACATATTGCGGAGGCATATTTTGTGCTATCATTGGGTTGTTCATGCCCACTTGCACAGGGTTAGTCATATTCATATTCTGGGCATATCCGAAGCCCTGCTGGGGCCCAGTAGAGGTGTTGCTTCGATTCAAAGAAGCCATGAAAGCATTATGATCTAGAGGGTAGTTAGCATTGAAGCTAGAGTTCAGTTTTTGCCCCCAACTTCCCATTTGGTTTCCACTGCTGGCCATTAATGAACTGTTGTGACCTTGTGTGTTATGAGGTGGTGGGTACATGAGCTGTTGTGACGTCACGCCATACTCGGGATTGAACCCCATCTCGTTTGCATATTGCGCCCTAAAAGTAATTTGTTAGAACTCTTTCAAAAGAAATTTAGAAGCTCAATTAAAACGATGACAACATCTCAAGCCAACATGAAATCCAAAAATATTTCATTTCAGTCAATTAAACCAATTTTACAATATTGAAGTCGTATATCAAACCTGAATTAGTTCTAATGCTGAAAAAAAAGGATGCACTTGCCATTTGCATCTTCAGTGAAACAGAAGTTAAGTCACAAGTTTACTGAGCGGCCGCATGACCGACAATACTTGAGTACTCCTATCGAGTCGAAGCCCAAAATATTTTTAAATTCGAGCTTTTACACTACAACCGAAATGAATTATTATTTTTTGCTGAGCAAAACAAAATTTTGCACATAAAACGACATTAAAAAGATTGACTAAGCCAAAAAACAAGCCAAAACCCTGCTTCTAAATGACAAAAGTCTACACAGAGTCAACGCTCTGCTTCGCAAACACATGCGAGAACATGTCAAAAAAAACAGCTCTATAAAGTGCAATAAGAAAAAAGTCCCAAATTAGTCAAAATTCGGCTACGTCTCGGAATCTATCTGCTATCTAGAGACTATGAACCTCACGCACTAGCCATTCAACCACGGACGCTCAATAAATCACAAAAACTAGCCACAAATGAAGCACAGAACAGATGCTATGAAATTACCGATGCTACAGATCGTGATTATAGCTAAGTGCCACCAATAAGCGAACACTTTTAATGAACACTTTTATTTGCGAGTTAGGTGGAAGGAGTTAAGTGAAAGAACATGTTCGACTTGAAAGCCACGATATCACCAACATTACATTATTTCAGTTTTTGGGATTTTAAAAGAGAATCTTACTTGTCACAGGTTGATCCGAATGCAGTGATTTGAGTACGTTAATTGATAAAATCCATATAAAGATTATCGATGTGCTTTCAAAACTAAACAACACTAAGAAAAACTTTCGCTCGTGTCAATGTAGCGTAAGCGGTTGGGTTAAATCAATTGGGTAAAGATAAATATTATACACCACTTCTTCTTGACACAGAAAGGCACCAGTTTTTCTCACCAAACTGTTCTTTCTCAAATTTTTTCTGAAAACCGAAAAAAAACGAATGGTTTTTATGCGATACCACACTTCATGTTCTACAAGATTTTGTGTGGCAAAACTACAAAGGTCATAGTATAAGAATGAGATCTAAATTGTTCCTACCAAAAAATAAGAAACGAGAGGAAAAACAAAAACTTAAGCTCAAAAGTCGAAAACAAAAAATCATGCCCATTACGAGATTGATACCCCCGCACTTGAAACGGCGAGAATTTGAGACATGTGCCCTTACCAACTGCGCCATCTAGCTAGAACTATATCGATAGCTGAACAGAACTAAACTAGAAAAAAAAAGAATACATACAACGCAAAAAAGCCAGTTTACTGGCACAAAAGTTTGCTACTTAGGTTGGAAAAAATGGATTCGTAGTATAACCATCCATTTGGTTGTGTAGTAACAGAAATTTGAATGTTTTGTTTTCTGAACTTTTCTGCAAAAATTAGATTTTAAAAGCTGATATGATTATTTGTTACTAAGCTCGAACTTAATGCTTGATTCGAAAATTAGTGTATAAATATTAGAAATATTTTTAAATTAATGAAAAAAGGTTTTTATTAATTTAAATTTGAAATAAGAAAAACGGCTGACCACGTCGGAACTTTTCAGCACAAACGTATAATAAATACTTACAGTGGCGTGCGCAGAACATTCTCTAAGGGAGGGGGCAGTTTTTTGAAAAAATTTGCGGTTTTTTTAGGTCGATCAATTTGATTTCCCGAGACTTCCGAAAATACTATAAGGGCCTTATTCTGTCAAAAACATTCTGTGCCGCCGCAGGCAATTTTTTCAAAAAACAGGCCAAAAAGGCGTTTTTATGCCTTTTTTGGAAAGTTCTGATCAAAAATTGCGTTTTTTCGGCGCGCGCTCCTCCCTCAAAATAAGTTATATTGGCGCCTTTAGAAAAATTTTGAGGTTGTTCAGCCAAAAAAAGTATGTCGTAAATAATACATAGAGGCAAAGCTGAGCTTCGCACCACTTGCGATACAACAAGTAAAAGATTAAAACGGAAAGAAGCTCAACAACTATCAACGAGGACTTCAGAAGTTGTAAGCGTAGAAACAACCAGAAACAATAAAATTAAAATCATTTTTTAATGGTTTAATTTATTTAAAATTTGGAAAGAGTTCCAAGTTGGGTTGAACTTGCGCATTCAAAAATCAATTTTATGGCCAAAACCTTAACGATCTCACAAATAATATCGGAAATTTGTAGGACACAAAATATTAGGTAAATAAACCGACAGAATTAAAGTCGAGAGCCAATAAGCTGAAAAACAACCCAAATTGTTCGGCAAAATTTTACTGGAAAATATACATGTACAGCCCAAATAGTATCCAAGAAAGCCATATAGGTACTGAAATTAAGGTGGTATACACAATTCGGTATCTAAACCGAGAGCTAAATCGAAAGCCAAAAAATCAGCAGCAAAAAAGTAATATCGATGTGTTATAAGCATACATACAACCAATCTATCAAAACAGATGAAGACATTTTTGAAAAATAAATCATGCAAAGACAATAGAGTGCAAAATTAGCATCGGAACAAAACTTACCAAGCAGTAACAAAACACAAAAAACCTCAGCACAAGCCCTTCATGCGAAAAAAATTCAAAAAAATCTTTTAAATTTTTTTTGCGTCTACCGTCCCCAGAACACACAATTTTGCTCGCAAAAATTTTCTCGGCCATCAAACGATGCAAAAAGGGGCCACTAAGCAGACATAAAATAAGCCGAAACCAAATAAGTAAAAAAAAAAGACAAAAAAATTTAAAAAAATAAATAAAATTTTGACATATCGAGTTCGGCCGAAAATTTCGATTCGGCCGGATTTTTAAAATGCTCAGACACTAAGCAACTACAGTGAATTTTTTTTGATCTAAAAATACACGATTCTTAGATCTGGCAACTAAGCCGACAAAACATAAGCAGACAAATAATAGGCCGACATTTTTTTGAACCAGAATTTTAACCGTTTGAAAAAAAAACAGGTCCTGTTCAGATTCAAACCCAAGACCTTTGCCTTCCAAGGCGCATTCGTTACCTCCAGGGTTATTTTGCATGAGACAGTAGGAAATTTGAATTCGCTATGAACCAAGTACCACCAGGAGTCGATTACGGAAAAAGGCTATTGCCTACTTAGTTGCTTCAAGGGTCTGCTTATGGTGATTTAGGAAGTGAATTAAACAAGACACCAATAAGCTTACTTTAAATACTTCAACTCCTGAGCCAACTTCAAATTCTGCTCTATTAGAATCTGCTTTTCCACTTTCTCCTGACTCACACCTGGAACTATTCCTGCTCCCATTTGCTGATCAGGGTACATTGGATTTGCACTGTTGAAACCCACCCCTCCTCCTCCTCCCCTTCCCCCTGTACCGGACATTAGCCTGTTGTTGGGAGCTGATGCCATGTCAAAGGTGCTTCCAGCTTTGCCTGTGTTGAAGCCACGGAAGCTGTGGGGCCCTCTGTAACTTTTGTTGCCCGAGTTGTCCAAAGGCGTTGACAAACCGGACTTCGACCTAAAGTTAGAGAAGATTAAAATTTTAGACGATGAGAAAACTTTATTTTTGAATACTTAATACTGCTAATTATTTGAACCTACCAATCCAAGCTAGCAGTCCTGTGAATATCCGACTGTCTCCCATCCCGTCTGTAGCTATCCCCAGTATACTCCTCAAACCCACTTTTTCCGCCTGGCGACATCATACTGCAAGTTGACTCTGGAGCATCAATCGAAGTCTGAACTGAAATGTTACTCATCGAGGGGTTTCGAGCCAACAATGAGTTGAGGTACTGTGCATTCTGATGTTGTTGTTGCATTTGTTGTGCATTTACTTTGGGGAATCCGTGAGATTGTGCTTTTGGTTGAATGGCTTTGAAGAAAGCTGCTTCTGAAATCTTCTGTCGTTGTTTCAATCTTTCTTTATCTTCATGAGCTCTTTGCTTTTGAATCTGCATTCTTTTCATTTCCATTTCCGCTCTTAGAGACTTAAAATTATCCGCCAGAAATTCTTCTTGGTCATTTTGTAAACTGGGTGTCGATTTCTGTTCATACCTGCCCCTATCTTTCTCAGGCGGAGTTTTGACTATCTTGGAGGCACTTCCGAATCCCTTCGGTCTATTGTCCAGGCCACTCTCCACAACTTCACTTCTAGGTCTTTCACTCTCAAAGTGGATACTTGAGTCTATAAACAATTCAGATGCTGGTCTATGTTGATGGGGATTGTGAGAATGTCTCACTGAGTAAGTGTCTCTGCCCGACATGACGTTGGGAGGAGGAGTGTTTTCCATACTGATTGACCTGTCGTACGCATTGGCGAAGCTTTTGCGAGCGGATAGCGGTGATCTCGACTGTTCCCCGTGAGGAGTGGAGGCACCCAAAGGCATCGAGTGTGCCAGTGCTCGATTACTCTGCAAGTTACTTGGTATGGCTGATGCTCTACCAACCTCAAACTCGTATTCCTGTCTATCTGAGTCATCTTCCAACCCCATTTCAGTCATTACCGTTTGAACTTCCGCTCCCTCTACTCTTCTTTCATCCCCCCCTTTGTCGTCTGCTGATTCCTGTACATATGTCCAGTTCATCAACTCCTTCGACCTCTCTTTTGAGGCTGCTGGCGCTGCTGTCGTTGTCGTCGAGACAGTTGGCTTGTTTGAGTGAAGGAGCTTCAGGGAGTGCAAGTCGATGCTCTCTCCAACTCCCATCGCCTCCACAGTGCTGTCATTCTCATCCCCTTGGCAGTCGTCTGACACACTTGCACTTCTATTAATAGCATCTAGTTGATTGCCTAAAATAAGACAATCTTTGCAACTTTTTTCGAAACCATATGTAGGCAAATATTGTTGCAACTACTTAGGGAATTTAAAAAAGGAACCGATATTTTAGGAAAATTTACTTTTCATTTTAATAGCATGGAAGCTTAACAATTCAACCGGTACCTAAACTCAAAAAGGATAACTATCAAGAAACGCGATGCGAATGTTCCTCTTTATTGGAACCTTACAATCATAATTTTAGATTTTGACGAAAAGAGTAATGAACGCAATGAAACTGATACAAAAATTGACTTGTTTTTTTTTCAAAAATCTTCAACTTTTGAGTTTCGAAGAAACAAATAGATGGTCTAAGGGCTCTTTGAATTTGAAAAGCAATTTATGATGGACACTTTTTTGTTAAAATTAACCCCATTTGAGAAAACTGGATCAATAGGCACAACTTTTTTTTCAGTGAGAAATCTGATAATTAATTTCATTTTCGAAATCAGAAGTCAATCACGTTTTTCGTGACCTTTACATTTTTGCTGTTCGATAGTGGACTTTGCTTTCCTTATAACAATGGAAATGCACTGAATTTAAAAAGATTTCACGGGTCTAGGACAACAAGCCGACGGGACTTCAAGCCGAAGGGACTTCAGGCCGAAATTTAAACTTTAAAAGCACCTTAAATTATATTTTTTTCATAAGTAAAACGTTGCTTTTCAAAAATTTTGGCAAGTTTAGTCCATAATAAGCGTTATTCATGACAATGAATCACTTAGGATTGGCATTCGTTAATAATTTTAGACGGTTTTTGAAATGCATAAATTATAAACAAGAAAATTGCCTTCAACCGTGTTTTATATTTCAAATTTCCTAAACATCATTTGGAGGCTTAAATTTTATGAAAAAGCCATTAATTACTCAAAAAAGATCATAAAAGTAAGAAATTCTTTAAAAAGGTTTTCCAATTAATCCTATTTCATCACTTAATGAGAAAATTTTCGGCTTGAAGTCCCTAATTTTACGATTCGGCTTGAAGTCCCGTCGGCTTGATGTCCGGCACCCAGATTTCACAAGTCAAAACCGCGAAAAATCAAAACTGAGCGTGAACAAATTTTAAGACTTTTTCTGAAAAAAAAAACATCAGCAAGACTTATAAAAGAGTCCTCACTACGTTCAATACTCTTAAACTAAATCCGGCTGGGACCTGAATCTCAGACCTTAGGTTACAAAGTCAACCGCGTTACCTCTAAGCCAGATGGAAAGAAGTCTTACGACAAAAAGCTTAGTTCATTACAAAACACTTGCTCTCGCAAGTGCACACATAGCCAACAGAAAGTTGGAAAAGTCAATGAATGCAAATAAATAGAAAAGATTACCGATGTTTTTTAAAGAAAATCATTAAGTTTTGAAATTAAAAAAAACTAGATGACCTTTTATAGATGAGTTTATAGCCTCTTTGAATTTATAGAACAATTTATCATTGATACTTTTTTGATGAAACAAAACCAATTTGAGAACACTGGATCAATAGGTAAAATTTTTGTTTGGCTGGGAAATTTGATAATTAAATTCCCCATTTTTGTAACTTGAAGTCAAACACAATTTTCGTGCCCTTTACACTTTTGCTTTAACAAAAGAAATTAACTGAACTCAAAAACTGTAGAAGATCAAATTTGTGTCCGAAAACAATTTGTAAAAAAAAAATTACGACCTATCTAAATAAAAGAAAGTCGCAGAAAAAAATTCTTTGTATTTTCTTTCTGAAAAATGTTAAAAAACTTGATCAACCAATTTTTTCAAGCCTTCTGGATTTTGCCTTATACAAAGTTCTTTCTGAGAAAATCATGCTACGCAGGACAATTGAATGCTAATTGAGTATCGGAAAAAAACTTACAAAGCGGTAACAGCGCCGACAATAACTGAGCAGATACACGCTGATCCGGAAAAAAATGTTTTCATAAAAGTCCTTTTCAAAACAATCAGATAACAATCTCCTTCTGCTCATCATACGACTCAAAATGAGGCCGCTAGTTTGATATAACATCAAGCCGAAAAACCTTTTAAGCCGAATCAAAGAAGAGGAAAAAAGCTGATATCGGAGCTGGTAAATTTACAATTAACATTAAAAACAATTTTCAAACAGAATGAGCGTTCAAAATGCAAACAAGCTCAAAATTTGATTTATAGTTGAGTAAAATACAGTTAGGAGATGTTCACTAACTTAAGATAACTAAGTTATTTGCGGAAAAAAAGTCTAGTACCCAGTTTTAGCACTCTTGCTTATCGCAAAGGTACTAATAATGAAAATAAAATCAGCAATAACATACACCGAAACCAAAAGATCAAAAAAATAAAAAGACATAAAATTAGTACATAAAATTACAAGAGACATTCAGTTTCGATAAAAATAGCTAAAAACAAAAAAACTTCATTCCTTCGCAGGTAAGTTGACTAAAAATAAGAAAATGAAGAAAATGAATGACATCATGATCATTAAATTTATTCAATTCATCAGTTCAAGACCTTTTTGCCTCACTCAATAAAAAACCTATTTTGCGCACAAGTCTTTTTGAAAGGTGCAAACTAGCCTAGAATGATAGCAATATTATCATGAAATAAACTGAAAGCAAAACTGACACAAGCATTAATTTTAAGGCCTTACACAGAGGCAAAACTGAGCTTCGCACCACTTGCGATACAACAGGATTAAAACAGCATGAGCCTCAGGAAGTCGCAAAGATAACTTCTACTAATGCAATTTAAAAAACTAAAAAACAAAAAATCAAATGATAGAAGTTTTTTTTCAAGATTTAAGTATTTTCATTGTTTTCAGCGTTCCTTATAGAGTTCGATTTGAGCATTCAAAAAAGGGAGCCTAGTTTTTTCGTGCACATTGAACGACAAAGCTAATATTTTCGAAGCAATTTCAAAAATGCAACAAAATGTCCGCAAAAAGTTTTGTAAGTCAAGTACTGCCACTAGTGGTACTCAGAAAGAGAAAAAAAAAGAGTCGAATCCAAAAAAAAAGAAAAAAAACGTGATACGGAATCTAGCACGACCAGAATAAGCAGACGGACGATAGTACAAAAGAACAAAAAAATTCTAGTTAAAAAAAGTCCTGGGCCCGGATTAAAACCCCAGGCCTTGGTCGTCTCATGTTCATGTGTTACTTCTACACCAGATGCGCTCGACGGTAGATTAAATTTTAATTTTTTATGACGCAAGTCGAAACACTTGTAACAATTGAATAGAAAAATTATTCAAAAGTTTAAGACATCCGGCTAGTGTTACGACAAATATTGAGACGAAATCCATGAACCGACAAAAAAAACTTCACTCTGAAAAAATTCCCAGTAACAAACATTGCACCCAGTAGTTAAACTTGAATTTTCATGAAATTCTGCATATCAGCAGCATATTAACTGATGTCAAGTGATTAAGCAGCATATCAACCTCATTCAAGGTATTCAACTGATTTTGTTGAACTAGTTGTAAACCGAAAAAAAGTTTGTTTTCCGTTTTGATAACGCTTGCTAATCACAAGCGTAATTATTCTTCCAATTCAACAATAGCAGGATATTAAAACTCGATAACTACCTTTTTTCTAAGGAAAAATTTTTCGCATTCAGTATTTGTTTTAGCTTTGACAATAACTGGAAACGATCTGAAAAACTATGATTTTCGATAACGCTTTTATCATAAACAGTTTTGAAAATGAAGTGATCAACACATGTTTTTGAATAAGCTGCTCAAAAAAGAACCGAAAATGGTTCTTCTTTCATGTCGAGAAAATTGGTCTAAATTTTAGTTTCAGACTAGTTAACTGCAAGGCATCCTCATAATTGGCTAATCCTGATCACCTTGGCTAATCTTATGAGTGTTCTAGCATTATTCAGGCCGCAAAGTTGACCAAATGCTTTACACTGAACACGGAACCAGCATAGACCCAGAGCGCAAAAAAAAACTTTTTAGTTGTTCAAACGTTTAGCATCTTATGCTCTCGTGGTACCATTTTGCGCTACATGCACAGCAACCTTCTTTACTTGTGTTGTCAATTCTATCTAACCCAGACGCCAGCAAATGAAAAACAACATGTTGAGCTTTGACATTCAGAAAAGAACAGACAACAGTTTGTTTTAGACAAAAACTATTTGAATATTTTGAATTTCTTCCATTCAGTTGGCTTGAAAACTCTATAATTTATTCCATCACCTATATTGCCTACAGAACAAAAGTGAGCCACGACTGATCAAAATTGACATCGTTTTAGACAAACGTCAAGTCACATACAATATAATTACTGATTTTTCGAAGTTGGTGTTAATATAAAAGTATAAGCCTTTGCATTGGTAGTTGATTACGTTTTTCAACAGTTTCATATAAATCTTAACGCATAAAAATTATTACACACAAGCTGATTTTACTCACCAGATATAACCACCAAAATGAGTACAGAACTTCACTATTAGTTTGCATCTTTATTCAACTCATTCTAAACACCTTTTAAACAGCTCTTTGAGATACATCTGCGGTAGAAAAGTCTTCATTCATTTGTGCGAAACCCAAATGTCATCATAGCATAGCTTCTTTGATAAGATAATTAATATTTCATTGAAGAGAGGTCATAACAACTCACAATCAAAAAACAGATTTTGCCCCGTACCTTATCAGGGCCAGAATAAGGATAGTTGCACACCTTATCAATCAGCTATTCATTTTCCTTACAAAATTGTAGAAAAGTGATTAAAGCTATTTAAGTTTTTAAACAATTCAATTACATAATATCAGCTCGGAAAGTTTCACAAACTGAAACAATGGTTCGCATTGCTAACATTTCCACTAAGCATTTACTACTAGTGACAACTTTCGGATGGATTTTTACTTTCTTCGTATTAGTTACGCAACAACCTGAAATGCCAGGCCCCGTGAAACGAACACAAATCAAAAACCAATATACTGAGAAAGCTGTGGACACTATAGAGATACCTGAAGGTGAGCAAAACTTCGGTGAGCATCGTAGCCAAGCGGACTTTGAAGTTGCAGCTTCACAAACTGGCAGCGGCGGTCTGATTAATCTTGAAAAACCACTTGCAGATCTGATAAGCCTCAGATCTGATATAATGGAGATGCAATACATGCTAAGTGGGAGAAGGAAAGATTGGAGTGATAAAGACAAACAGATGACTCAGGATCTTATTGACCATCTCTGGCGAGAGTCTTACTCCATTTTGGAGGAGATATCTGGAAAGGAGTGTCGCCAAAAACTACAACAATCAGCCGATGAAATCTGGAAACACATCGACCACGTGAGTAGCAGCTAGCTCTTTCCTATGGCACTTGCACATGTCTATAGTAAGACGTTACAGGCCTTGCAAGTATAGTATCCCAATCTTTCACAGACGGTTAAAAGATTTAGCTGAAATATGGATGGCGTGAGACGTATTTTTAGTTTACCATCTCTATAGAAATCTGTAGAGTGGATTGTTGTCTACTCGGAACAAAACATGCTTACAGGAGATTAGTAGATATTTGCCATACAAGAAGGTCTATCGAAAACGGTATTGAATCAGATACTTTCGGGCGACAGTGCATCTGACTGAGTTCACAGCCTCAACGACTTAGCTGGCGTCCATCAAAGTCAAGCCAGGAGCATGTATACGACAGGAGCAAATATATTTCCGCTTTTGAAACTCAAGTCGATGAGCTATTCGAAAACCTCGTAAGTAATCGCGTGAATCTCCTTAAGATGTCAGTACTATTAATCATTAGATCCAGTTCAAAACCCACAGAACCTGGCTAAGCATACTAGAGGCCCAGCTAAAGCTGGAGATACTCATTTGATAATGTTTGAATCTTGTGTACTGATGCGAGATGAAGTAGGTAATTTCAAAAAAAAAAATGAAGAATTGGGCTTCCCTCAAAACCTTAGTTGTTGCTCTACTAAAAATGAAAACTATTGCGATTTTGGAATTTTCTCATTAACACATTTTGTGTTCAAATTTTAAGACGTAGCATCTTATGCACGGAGCCTTCTCACAACCTGACCTGTTGCCTTGATTAAACCCTTGATATCAGATTGGGTTGTTTGCGAGAAGCCCAAAAGTTTCAAGAAAACAGACAGGAAATCAAAACATTGACTACTCCGAGTGTATACTTTTCGTGTATAAAAAATTGGGCGTAACCGCTCAAACAGAGGAGCTTCTCGAAGCCCGTTCTACACAATGAAACCAAAATCTCCGGCTTGTAAGGGTAGTTTTTGAGAAAAGTCAAAAAGTTTCAAAAAAACGTCAAAAATTCGAAAAATTAGACTTTTCCGAGTGTCATTACTTGTTGTGTAAAAAATTTGGTCATAACCGCGTATGCAGGGATCTCCTCGCAACCTGTTTTACCCATTCAAAACAAAATTTTAGATTTGGAAGGGTAGTTTTCGAGAAAAGTTTCAAAAAACGGTAAATAAATCGAAAATTCGACATTTCCGAGGGCCACAACTTTTTGTCCAAAAAAATATGAGTGTCACCGCTTATGCAGGGGAGCTTCCCATAACTGTTTCTATCCGTTGAACTCAAAATCCCAGAATTGGGAGGGTAGTTTTCGAGAATCGCCGCTTTTTACAAATCCCTTTTCACTTATCTAGATGCACCGCTTATCTATATGCGCCGCTTTTCTGCAACTTTTTTTCACAATCGGAAAAAAACTATGAACAGGCATAGTTCCTACTTTCGAAGACTGCAACAGAATCTATCTGCATGGGACTTTTTTATGCAAGCCAAACAAATTTACGTGCGATCATTTTTGATAAAACTGTGGACGTTTGAAAAATCGAACCGCTTCTGTTAATGCTTTGCAAAATTCGCAATCGCTTTTGCCACTTTCGCTTATTCCCCTAGATCGGCCGCTTTCTTACCTATTTCTCTTTAAGCGGGACAATACAGTGGAAGCGATATTCTATTTCAGATTCAGAAGCGCGACTGCAGCGACACCCGGAACAAGTTCGCCGTTTGCAGTTTGAACAAACCCTGTGGGTTTGGGTGTCAGCTGCACCACCTCAACTGGTGCTTCATGCTCAGTTTCGCCCTCAATCGCACCATGGTACTAGAGAACGGGGCCTGGAGTTACGATAAAAAGGGGTGGACGGACATGTTCCAGCCGTTGACTGGATGCAACCTGGAGGACAAGACTGGGCCTAGCATCGGTAAAAACAAATCTAACACAGATCATATCCAGCCTACACAGAAAATGCATTACTTTGAAAGCTACCAACATTTCACACAACTTGAAATTCAATTGCTTGAGTTTTAGACAGAGGGAGTCAAAGTGAAAGTGTGGAGAAAGAACGAGTGGTACGAATCCCGATAGTGGAAAGCATGGGTTGAATTTCAATTGCTTGAGTTTTAGACAGAGGGAGTCAAAGTGAAAGTTTGGAGAAAGAACGAGTGGTACGAATCCCGATAGTGGAAAGCATGTGTTGAATTTCGATTGCTTGAGTTTTAGACAGAGGGAGTCAAAGTGAAAGTTTGGAGAAAGAACGAGTGGTACGAATCCCGATAGTGGAAAGCATGGATTGAATTTCGATTGCTTGAGTTTTAGACAGAGGGAGTCAAAGTGAAAGTGTGGAGAAAGAACGAGTGGTACGAATCCCGATAGTGGAAAGCATGGGTTGAATTTCAATTGCTTGAGTTTTAGACAGAGGGAGTCAAAGTGAAAGTGTGGAGAAAGAACGAGTGGTACGAATCCCGATAGTGGAAAGCGTGGGTTGAATTTCAATTGCTTGAGTTTGAGACAGAGGGAGTCAAAGTGAAAGTGTGGAGAAAGAACGAGTGGTACGAATCCCGATAGTGGAAAGCATGGGTTGAATTTCAATTGCTTGAGTTTTAGACAGAGGGAGTCAAAGTGAAAGTTTGGAGAAAGAACGAGTGGTACGAATCCCGATAGTGGAAAGCATGGATTGAATTTCAATTGCTTGAGTTTTAGACAGAGGGGGTCAAAGTGAAAGTGTGGAGAAAGAACGAGTGGTAAGATACCCGATAGTGGGAAGCATGGGTTGAATTTCAATTGCTTGAGTTTTAGACAGAGGGAGTCAAAGTGAAAGTGTGGAGAAAGAACGAGTGGTACGAATCCCGATAGTGGAAAGCATGGGTTGAATTTCAATTGCTTGAGTTTTAGACAGAGAGAGTCAAAGTGAACGTGTGGAGAAAGAACGAGTGGTACGAGTCCCGATAGTGGAAAGCATGGGTTGAATTTCAATTGCTTGAGTTTTAGACAGAGGGAGTCAAAGTGAAAGTTTGGAGAAAGAACGAGTGGTAAGAATCCCGATAGTGGATAGCATGGGTTGAGTTTCAATTGCTTGAGTTTTAGACAGAGGGAGTCAAAGTGAAAGTGTGGAGAAAGAACGAGTGGTAAGAGTCCCGATAGTGGATAGCATGGGTTGAAATTCAATTGCTTGAGTTTTAGACAGAGGGAGTCAAAGTGAAAGTTTGGAGAAAGAATGAGTGGTAAGAATCCCGATAGTGGATAGCATGGGTTGAATTTCAATTGCTTGAGTTTTAGACAGAGGGAGTCAAAGTGAAAGTGTGGAGAAAGAACGAGTGGTAAGAATCCCGATAGTGGAAAGCATGGGTTGAATTTCAATTGCTTGAGTTTTAGACAGAGGGAGTCAAAGTGAAAGTTTGGAGAAAGAACGAGTGGTAAGAATCCCGATAGTGGATAGCATGGGTTGAATTTCAATTGCTTGAGTTTTAGACAGAGGGAGTCAAAGTGAAAGTTTGGAGAAAGAACGAGTGGTAAGAATCCCGATAGTGGATAGCATGGGTTGAATTTCAATTGCTTGAGTTTTAGACAGAGGGAGTCAAAGTGAAAGTGTGGAGAAAGAACGAGTGGTACGAATCCCGATAGTGGAACGCATGGGTTGAATTTCAATTGCTTGAGTTTTAGACAGAGGGAGACAAAGTGAAAGTGTGGAGAAAGAACGAGTGGTACGAATCCCGATAGTGGAAAGCATGGGTTGAATTTCAATTGCTTGAGTTTTAGACAGAGGGAGTCAAAGTGAAAGTTTGGAGAAAGAACGAGTGGTAAGAATCCCGATAGTGGATAGCATGGGTTGAGTTTCAATTGCTTGAGTTTTAGAAAGAGGGAGTCAAAGTGAAAGTTTGGAGAAAGAACGAGTGGTAAGAATCCCGATAGTGGATAGCATGGGTTGAATTTCAATTGCTTGAGTTTTAGACAGAGGGAGTCAAAGTGAAAGTTTGGAGAAAGAACGAGTGGTAAGAATCCCGATAGTGGATAGCATGGGTTGAGTTTCAATTGCTTGAGTTTTAGACAGAGGGAGTCAAAGTGAAAGTCTGGAGAAAGAACGAGTGGTAAGAATCCCGATAGTGGAAAGCATGGGTTGAATTTCAATTGCTTGAGTTTTAGACAGAGGGAGTCAAAGTGAAAGTTTGGAGAAAGAACGAGTGGTAAGAATCCCGGTAGTGGATAGCATGGGTTGAATTTCAATTGCTTGAGTTTTAGACAGAGGGAGTCAAAGTGAAAGTGTGGAGAAAGAACGAGTGGTAAGAATCCCGACAGTGGATAGCATGGGTTGAGTTTCAATTGCTTGAGTTTTAGACAGAGGGAGTCAAAGTGAAAGTTTGGAGAAAGAACGAGTGGTAAGAATCCCGATAGTGGATAGCATGGGTTGAATTTCATTTGCTTGAGTTTTAGACAGAGGGAGTCAAAGTGAAAGTTTGGAGAAAGAACGAGTGGTAGGAATCCCGATAGTGGATAGCATGGGTTGTGTTTCAATTGCTTGAGTTTTAGACAGAAGGAGTCAAAGTGAAAAAGTGGAGAAAGAACGAGTGGTAAGAATCCCGATAGTGGATAGCATGAGTTGAATTTCAATTGCTTGAGTTTTAGACAGAGGGAGTCAAAGTGAAAGTGTGGAGAAAGAACGAAAGGTAGGAATCCTAATAGTGGATAGCATGGGTTGAATTTCAATTGCTTGAGTTTTAGACAGAGGGAGTCAAAGTGAAAGTGTGGAGAAAGAACGAGTGGTAAGAATCCCGATAGTGGATAGCATGGGTTGAGTTTCAATTGCTTGAGCTTTAGACAGAGGGAGTCAAAATGAAAGTGTGGAGAAAGAACGAGTGGTAAGAATCCCGATAGTGGATAGCATGGGTTGAATTTCAACTGCTTCAGTTTTAGACAGAGGGAGTCAAAGTAAAAGTGTGGAGAAAGAACGAGTGGTAAGAATCCCGATAGTGGATAGCATGGGTTGAATTTCAAATGCTTGACTTTAAGACAGAGGGAGTCAAAGTGAAAGTGTGGAGAAAGAACGAGTGGTAAGAATCCCGATAGTGGATAGCATGGGTTGAGTTTCAATTGCTTGAGTTTTAGACAGAGGGAGTCAAAATGGAAGTGTGGAGAAAAAACGAGTGGTAAGAATCCCGATAGTGGATAGCATGGGTTGAACTTCAATTGCTTGAGTTTTAGACAGAGGGAGTCAAAGTGAATGTTTGGAGAAAGAACGAGTGGTAAGAATCCCGATAGTGGATAGCATGGGTTGAGTTTCAATTGCTTGAGTTTTAGACAGAGGGAGTCAAAGTGAAAGTGTGGAGAAAGAACGAGTGGTAAGAGTCCCGATAGTGGATAGCATGGGTTGAGTTTCAATTGCTTGAGTTTTAGACAGAGGGAGTCAAAGTGAAAGTGTGGAGAAAGAACGAGTGGTAAGAATCCCGATAGTGGATAGCATGGGTTGAATTTCAATTGCTTGAGTTTCAGACAGAAGGAGTCAAAGTGAAAGTTTGGAGAAAGAACGAGTGGTCAGAATCCCGATAGTGGATAGCATGGGTTGAGTTTCAATTGCTTGAGTTTTAGACAGAGGGAGTCAAAGTGAAAGTGTGGAGAAAGAACGAGTGGTAAGAATCCCGATAGTGGATAGCATGAGTTGAATTTCAATTGCTTGAGTTTTAGACAGAGAGAGTCAAAGTGAAAGTGTGGAGAAAGAACGAAAGGTAGGAATCCTAATAGTGGATAGCATGGGTTGAATTTCAATTGCTTGAGTTTTAGACAGGGAGTCAAAGTGAAAGTGTGGAGAAAGAACGAGTGGTAAGAATCCCGATAGTGGACAGCATGGGTAATTCTCCACTTCGAAATCAGTTCTTCCTTCCCAACATTCCTTCCAAATGGGCGCGCAAGATGTCACACTGCCACTCCAGCCCCACAGTCTGGTACGCAGCTCAGTTCATAGTCTATTCGATGCGATCGAATGAGAAATTAAGCCAACACTTGCACTCAGTTCAGGCCAGGACACAGATATCCCACAATTTCCTCGGAATCCATGTTCGCAGATCGGACAAGAAGTCGGAAGCAAAGTATCACGACTTGGCCGAGTATATGGAGTACGCGAAGGTACTCCAGAACAGATTGGAGAAAACTGACATGCACATCAACAAAGAGATCTATTTGGGTGAGATGAAACAATAAAAATCACCAAATAAACTCAACTTACTTTTTTCTACAACAAAGTTTGGCTACTTTGCAAATATCGCAGTTCCGACTACTATTTTTGGACCAACTAAATCCTCAAAAACTATCGAGATGCTACATTTTGTGTAAGTGCTGCCTGTAAGAATCCCGATAGTGGATAGCATGGGTTGAATTTCAATTGCTTGAGTTTTAGACAGAGGGAGTCAAAGTGAAAGTTTGGAGAAAGAACGAGTGGTAAGAATCCCGATAGAGGATAGCATGGGTTGAGTTTCAATTGCTTGAGTTTTAGACAGAGGGAGACAAAGTGAAAGTGTGGAGAAAGAACGAGTGGTTGAATTTCAATTGCTTGAGGTTTAGACAGAAGGAGTCAAAGTGAAAGTTTGGAGAAAGAACGAGTGGTAAGAATCCCGATAGTGGATAGCATGGGTTGAGTTTCAATTGCTTGAGTTTTAGACAGAGGGAGTCAAAGTGAAAGTGTGGAGAAAGAACGAGTGGTAAGAACCCCGATAGTGGATAGCATGTGTTGAATTTCAATTGCTTGAGTTTTAGACAGAGGGAGTCAAAGTGAAAGTGTGGAGAAAGAACGAGTGGTAAGAATCCCGATAGTGGACAGCATGGGTAATTCTCCACTTCGAAATCAGTTCTTCCTTCCCAACATTCCTTCCAAATGGGCGCGCAAGATGTCACACTGCCACTCCAACCCCACAGTCTGGTACGCAGCTCAGTTCATAGCCTATTCGATGCGACCGAATGAGAAATTAAGCCAACACTTGCACTCAGTTCAGGCCAGGACACAGATATCCCACAACTTCTTCGGAATCCATGTTCGCAGATCGGACAAGAAGTCGGAGGCAAAGTATCACGACTTGGCCAAGTACATGGAGTACGTGAAGGTAGTCCAGAACAGATTGGAGAAAACTGACATGCACATCAACAAAGAGATCTATTTGGGTGAGATGAAACAACAAAGATCACCAAATAAACTCAACTTACTTTTTTCTACAACAAAGTTTGGCTACTTTGCAAATATCGCAGTTCCGACTACTATTTTTGGACCAACTAAATCCTCAAAAACTATCGAGATGCTACATTTTGTGTAAGTGCTGCCTGTAAGAATCCCGAGTGGATAGCATGGGTTGAATTTCAATTGCTTGAGTTTTAGACAGAGGGAGTCAAAGTGAAAGTTTGGCGAAAGAACGAGTGGTAAGAATCCCGATAGAGGATAGCATGGGTTGAGTTTCAATTGCTTGAGATTTAGACAGAGGGAGTCAAAGTGAAAGTGTGGAGAAAGAACGACGAGTGGTTGAATTTCAATTGCTTGAGGTTTAGACAGAAGGAGTCAGAGTGAAAGTTTGGAGAAAGAACGAGTGGTAAGAATCCCGATAGTGGATAGCATGGGTTGAGTTTCAATTGCTTGAGTTTTAGACAGAGGGAGTCAAAGTGAAAGTGTGGAGAAAGAACGAGTGGTAAGAATCCCGATAGTGGATAGCATGGGTTGAATTTCAATTGCTTGAGTTTTAGACAGAGGGAGTCAAAGTGAAAGTTTGGAGAAAGAACGAGTGGTAAGAATCCCGATAGAGGATAGCATGGGTTGAGTTTCAATTGCTTGAGTTTTAGACAGAGGGAGTCAAAGTGAAAGTGTGGAGAAAGAACGAGTGGTTGAATTTCAATTGCTTGAGGTTTAGACAGAAGGAGTCAAAGTGAAAGTTTGGAGAAAGAACGAGTGGTAAGAATCCCGATAGTGGATAGCATGGGTTGAGTTTCAATTGCTTGAGTTTTAGACAGAGGGAGTCAAAGTGAAAGTGTGGAGAAAGAACGAGTGGTAAGAATCCCGATAGTGGACAGCATGGGTTGAGTTTCAATTGCTTGAGTTTTAGACAGAGGGAGTCAAAGTGAAAGTGTGGAGAAAGAACGAGTGGTTAGAATCCCGATAGTGGATAGCATGTGTTGAATTTCAATTGCTTGAGTTTTAGACAGAGGGAGTCAAAGTGAAAGTGTGGAGAAAGAACGAGTGGTAAGAATCCCGATAGTGGATAGCATGGGTTGAGTTTCAATTGCTTGAGTTTTAGACAGAGGGAGTCAAAGTGAAAGTTTGGAGAAAGAACGAGTGGTAAGAACCCCGATAGTGGATAGCATGTGTTGAATTTCAATTGCTTGAGTTTTAGACAGAGGGAGTCAAAGTGAAAGTTTGGAGAAAGAACGAGTGGTAAGAATCCCGATAGTGGACAGCATGGGTTGAATTTCAATTGCTTGAGTTTTAGACAGAGGGAGTCAAAGTGAAAGTTTGGAGAAAGAACGAGTGGTAAGAATCCCGATAGAGAATAGCATGGGTTGAGTTTCAATTGCTTGAGTTTTAGACAGAGGGAGTCAAAGTGAAAGTTTGGAGAAAGAACGAGTGGTAAGAATCCCGATAGTGGACAGCATGGGTTGAATTTCAATTGCTTGAGTTTTAGACAGAGGGAGTCAAAGTGAAAGTTTGGAGAAAGAACGAGTGGTAAGAACCCCGATAGTGGATAGCATGGGTTGAGTTTCAATTGCTTGAGTTTTAGACAGAGGGAGTCAAAGTGAAAGTGTGGAGAAAGAACGAGTGGTAAGAATCCCGATAGTGGATAGCATGTGTTGAATTTCAATTGCTTGAGTTTTAGACAGAGGGAGTCAAAGTGAAAGTGTGGAGAAAGAACGAGTGGTAAGAATCCCGATAGTGGATAGCATGGGTTGAGTTTCAATTGCTTGAGTTTTAGACAGAGGGAGTCAAAGTGAAAGTTTGGAGAAAGAACGAGTGGTAAGAACCCCGATAGTGGATAGCATGTGTTGAATTTCAATTGCTTGAGTTTTAGACAGAGGGAGTCAACGTGAAAGTTTGGAGAAAGAACGAGTGGTAAGAACCCCGATAGTGGATAGCATGTGTTGAATTTCAATTGCTTGAGTTTTAGACAGAGGGAGTCAAAGTGAAAGTTTGGAGAAAGAACGAGTGGTAAGAATCCCGATAGTGGACAGCATGGGTTGAAATTCAATTGCTTGAGTTTTAGACAGAGGGAGTCAAAGTGAAAGTTTGGAGAAAGAACGAGTGGTAAGAACCCCGATAGTGGATAGCATGGGTTGAGTTTCAATTGCTTGAGTTTTAGACAGAGGGAGTCAAAGTGAAAGTGTGGAGAAAGAACGAGTGGTAAGAATCCCGATAGTGGATAGCATGTGTTGAATTTCAATTGCTTGAGTTTTAGACAGAGGGAGTCAAAGTGAAAGTGTGGAGAAAGAACGAGTGGTAAGAATCCCGATAGTGGATAGCATGGGTTGAGTTTCAATTGCTTGAGTTTTAGACAGAGGGAGTCAAAGTGAAAGTTTGGAGAAAGAACGAGTGGTAAGAACCCCGATAGTGGATAGCATGTGTTGAATTTCAATTGCTTGAGTTTTAGACAGAGGGAGTCAACGTGAAAGTTTGGAGAAAGAACGAGTGGTAAGAACCCCGATAGTGGATAGCATGTGTTGAATTTCAATTGCTTGAGTTTTAGACAGAGGGAGTCAAAGTGAAAGTTTGGAGAAAGAACGAGTGGTAAGAATCCCGATAGTGGATAGCATGGGTTGAGTTTCAATTGCTTGAGTTTTAGACAGAGGGAGTCAAAGTGAAAGTTCGGAGAAAGAACGAGTGGTAAGAATCCCGATAGTGGACAGCATGGGTTGAATTTCAATTGCTTGAGTTTTAGACAGAGGGAGTCAAAGTGAAAATTTGGAGAAAGAACGAGTGGTAAGAATCCCGATAGTGGACAGCATGGGTTGAATTTCAATTGCTTGAGTTTTAGACAGAGGGAGTCAAAGTGAAAGTGTGGAGAAAGAACGAGTGGTAAGAATCCCGATAGTGGATAGCATGGGTTGAGTTTCAATTGCTTGAGTTTTAGACAGAGGGAGTCAAAGTGAAAGTTTGGAGAAAGAACGAGTGGTAAGAACCCCGATAGTGGATAGCATGTGTTGAATTTCAATTGCTTGAGTTTTAGACAGAGGGAGTCAAAGTGAAAGTTTGGAGAAAGAACGAGTGGTAAGAACCCCGATAGTGGATAGCATGTGTTGAATTTCAATTGCTTGAGTTTTAGACAGAGGGAGTCAAAGTGAAAGTCTGGAGAAAGAACGAGTGGTAAGAATCCCGATAGTGGATAGCATGGGTTGAGTTTCAATTGCTTGAGTTTTAGACAGAGGGAGTCAAAGTGAAAGTTTGGAGAAAGAACGAGTGGTAAGAACCCCGATAGTGGATAGCATGTGTTGAATTTCAATTGCTTGAGCTTTAGACAGAGGGAGTCAAAGTGAAAGTTTGGAGAAAGAACGAGTGGTAAGAACCCCGATAGTGGATAGCATGTGTTGAATTTCAATTGCTTGAGTTTTAGACAGAGGGAGTCAAAGTGAAAGTTTGGAGAAAGAACGAGTGGTAAGAATCCCGATAGTGGACAGCATGGGTTGAATTTCAATTGCTTGAGTTTTAGACAGAGGGAGTCAAAGTGAAAGTGTGGAGAAAGAACGAGTGGTAAGAATCCCGATAGTGGACAGCATGGGTAATTCTCCACTTCGAAATCAGTTCTTCCTTCCCAACATTCCTTCCAAATGGGCGCGCAAGATGTCACACTGCCACTCCAACCCCACAGTCTGGTACGCAGCTCAGTTCATAGCCTATTCGATGCGACCGAATGAGAAATTAAGCCAACACTTGCATTCAGTTCAGGCCAGGACACAGATATCCCACAACTTCTTCGGAATCCATGTTCGCAGATCGGACAAGAAGTCGGAGGCAAAGTATCACGACTTGGCCGAGTACATGGAGTACGTGAAGGTAGTCCAGAACAGATTGGAGAAAACTGACATGCACATCAACAAAGAGATCTATTTGGGTGAGATGAAACAACAAAGATCACCAAATAAACTCAACTTACTTTTTTCTATAACAAAGTTTGGCTACTTTGCAAATATCGCAGTTCCGACTACTATTTTTGAACCAACTAAATCCTCAAAAACTATCGAGATGCTACATTTTATGTAACTGCTTTTAACAAAAAGCCTTCAAGTTACCTTGAAAAATGAATCAGAAACCAATGAAGAAGCAAAACTAGGCATTTTCTTGCAATAATTGAACCGTTGCAAAATTAAAATAATAAAAAAAGTGGAAATTAAAGGAGCGAAGCTAAAAAGAGCTTATTTCAGCCACGGATGAGCCAACAGTTCTGATGGAAGAGACCAAGGCGTTCCCTGAGTACACTTTCCACGGGGACACGGCCGCCGCACAACGTGCTGGCTCTGGCGGAACCCGTTATGCCGAAGGGAGTCTGCTGGAAGTGCTGGCTGATGTCATTTTCATGTCCAAATCTCAGTACCTAGTCTGCACATTTTCCTCTCAAGTCTGCAGAGTTTCGTATGAGCTGATGCAAGTGAGTTCAAAACAAAACACATCTTTTAAAAACTACAACAAATTTTGCAGTTACGTCACTCATTTCTGATTTCAAAGCAATGTTAAGATCTTCTCTGAGAGAAAAAAGCGAGCGTACTTTTTCACGACTAGTTCGACTGAAAAATATGGTTCTAATTTCTCTTTATTCTGATTATTCTACAGTACGAGAGACGATACGAAGATGCCGGCTGGCGATGGCAGTCACTTGACGACTTTTATTACTACGGCGGCCAAGGATTCGTTCCTTGGTATGTCATTGATGATCACTCTCCCGGCATAAAAGGAGAGTCACGGGCTTCCAAGGGTGACCGAGTTGGTGTACTTGGAAATCACTGGGACGGATATTCAAAGGTATGTTTGCATTGTAAAACATCCCTCATTTCTAAAATCTCAACTTCGCGTCACAAAAGCAAATTTGTACTGAGCGTACAAGCAAAAATGTCTGAGATTTCGCTGTTGGCAACCGAGCATTCAACTACGTTTGAATTTTCACAAGACAAAAACGTGAGAAAAACCAGAAATGAAAAAACTTTAAAATCTATCAGATATTTTTTTGAACAATCCCCCTTAGTTACGCATTGGTGAGACCAACAAACACGCCTCAATTGAATCTGGAATCTTTTCTGAGCCGGATTAATTCGCCGTGCACGCGTTTATAAGAAGCAATGAACCTCTCTTTAATTTCCAGAAACTGTCAAGTCTCACATTAGATTCCAGATAGCCATTTTTTAAGAGGCATGATGAAATTATGCAACAACGAGAAATGAATTCTTCTTTTTCATGTTTCTGATGTCCATATTTCTGTTCCGACTAATTAATATTGTCTTCGGAAGTGTTTCAGCTTTTTTTCTTGCGAAATCAGTTACCACAAATAATCACCGGAAGGGTTGGAGTAATATATCACATTGAAGCCCTTTTAGTCGTGATTCGAAAAGGTTGTTTCATTGGTGATGAAACTCGGTTTGAAGTTTTTGAGTTTTCAGAAACTTAAAAAAGTAGAAGATAACTTTTGAAGATAACTGTAGTAGCTTTTGTCTAATTCACTTTCAACTTTCTACTTTTGTTCTCTTATCAGATACGTACAAAAAAGGACAGTGATTTGGGATAGGATAGGATAGGTTTTTTTTATATAAAGTGGCAACTGGCTATGCTTGTTTTAAATGAGTGGAAAGAGAAGCTAGTGGAGTAAACATAATTTTGACCATGTATTTCAGACGCATCAAGGACTGCTGCCATCGTACAAGCTAAGAAGAGGTCTTCCCACATTCGAGCTCACATGGTCTCTATAATAGATGCTGCAATAAAACATTCACAATAGAGCAGAGCCACTGTCAATCTCAACCAGTTGTCAATCTCAATTTCACTCACATAACTCATCACCTATTTTACTCATTTCATTTCTCACACATATCAAACTATCGTCTATTTTACAACTAACCATTTTTTCACCTACTCTCAGGAGCGGATTTAGGGGGGGCAGACGCCAAACCCCCCCCCCCCCCCCCCCCCCCTCAGGGATTCGACCCCCTGCCGACCCAAAGGGTCCCCCCTTTTTACAATTTTGAGATATCCACTTTTGGCTGATTGACCTGAAAATTTTTCTAAAGGCGCCTTGGGCGCCAATATATACTAACTCCGCCCCCCCCCCCCTCGAGAAAATCCTAGATCCGTCCCTGGGTACTCTGGTACCTTTATTAGAGCTTCCAACATGTACAAACCCTTCCATTTAGCAAAATGTGCCAACTTTGATATACTAATATTGCTAAGCTTTGATTTGAAAAATATCAACATAAATGTCTATCATGATAAACGTATCTGTTATTTATCGCTAGTCGCCTCTTTATGCACGGCATAAACTTGTTCATAATTTTTAAAGTTTGCAAATACAGTTTGCCAAAAAAAACTCTTACTTACTATAATTTTGAGGCGACGCCTGAGGTTCATTTGCAAAGACGGAGGAATTAGGCTTCGCTGTGCACTCATCTGTTCTCGAGTTTGCTGTCTCAAATGCATCATCAGCTGAACTATCTTCAAGCGACGGCAAACTTTTCTCATATGCCGTTGAAAAAATATGAAATAACTCTGCCATAAAAAGCACAAATGCAGATTTAGTGAGCTTGTTAGGATATAGGAAATCTTCCAGTTCGAGGTGCAAAATATTAACTGAACTTGCGGTTAGTGAGTTGGACAAAGAGCCCGTGAATAGACGTGTGGGATTTGATTGAAGCAGTTTGCAGTACATTTGCACAATTTGGATGTTGTAGATACAGTTGATTGCGAGTGATTCTGAAGGAGCCGACATTGAGTGATTTTGCTCGGATAATCCTAAATAAAAAGACATGTTGACACTCTCCTCCAGGTAATTTCCATTGGAATTACATTGATGATCAGGAGCAGCCTTTTGCTATACAAGTAGCTTTGAATGTTTCCACAACAATGACCATTTCCAGGAGTTCACTTTTTCTGCAAATATAATGGTTGGGAGAATGTTCAAATAGTTATGGCGTTCTTAAGGTACCTAAAATTGGAGGAACTAACCCGTTCTACACCATTGTTGCTTCCCACTTTTGGAGTGGTCAGGATAATTGCGTGCAATATGCGTGGCGGCCATTTAGCTATACAAAAGATGAGGAATGAAAGTACTGACTTTGGACAGGTAGTAAGCGAGGAGAAAATAGAGCCATGACAGCTGCTATGACCAGACCATCACATGCCTCCACAAGGTCAAACAGTTCCATCACTTCCTCCAGAGCCTGAAGCAGAACAAATCCATCTTCAGCTAATGTTCGAAAGACAAAAAGTCTTAAAATGACACAGATCATTCGAGAACATTTTAAACACAGAAGCGGACACTTGTGATGCAAATCACACACACACACGCGATACAAAATAGTGAATGAAAAAATACAAGTAAAAAAGACAAGTCCATCTTCAGCTAATGTATCTTCAGCTAATGTTCGAAATTCAAAAAAAAAACTAAATATGACACAGATCATATGTGAACACTTTAAACACAGAGGCGGAGCGGAGGCAAATCACACATGGCGGTACAAAATAGTGAATGAAAAAAAAGAACAAGTAAAAAAGACAAGTCCATCTTCAGCTAATGTTCGAAAGAAAAAAAACCTAAATATGACACAGATCATATGAGAACATTTTAAACACAGAGGCGGAGCGGACACTTGCGATTCAAATCACACATCGCGGTACAAAGTTGTGAATGAAAAAAAGAACAAGTAAAAAAAGACAAGTCCATCTTCAGCCAATGTTCGAAATTCAAAAAACCTAAAAATGACAAAGATCATATGTGAAAATTTCCAACACAGGTGCGAAGCAGACACATGCGATGCAAATCACACACACACACGATTAAAAATAGTGAATGAAAAAAAAAGAACAAGTAAAAAAGACTCCAACTTCAGCTAATGTTCGAAATTCAAAAAAACCTAAATATGACAAAAATCTTATGTGAATATTTCCAACACAGAGGCGAAGCGGACACTTGCGCTGCAAATCGCAAATCGAGGTACAAAATTGTGAATGAAAAAAAGAACAAGTAAAAAAGACAAGTACATCTTTAGCTAATGTTCGAAAGACAAAAAACCTAAATATGACACAGATCATTTGAGAACATTTTAAACACAGAGGCGGAGCGGACACTTGCGTTGCAAATCCCCCACACACACACAATACAAAATAATGAATGAAAAAATACAAGTAAAAAAGACAAGTCCATCTTCAGCTAATGTTCGAAAGACAAAAAACCTAAATATGACACAGATCATATGAGAACATTTTAAACACAGATGCGAAGCGGACACTTGCGATTCAAATCACACATCGAGGTACAAAATTGTGAATGAAAAAAAGAACAAGCAAAACAGACAAGTACATCTTTAGCTAATGTTCGAAAGACAAAAAAACTTAAATATGACACAGATCATTTGAGAACATTTTAAACACAGAGGCGGAGCGGACACTTGCGTTGCAAATCCCACACACACACACACACACACGATACAAAATAATGAATGAAAAAATACAAGTAAAAAAGACAAGTCCATCTTCAGCTAATGTTCCAAAGACAAAAAACCTAAAAATGACACAGATCATATGAGAACATTTTAAACACAGAGGCGGAGCGGACACTTGCGATTCAAATCACACATCGCGGTACAAAATTGTGAATGAAAAAAGAACAAGTAAAAAAGACAAGTCCATCTTCAGCTAATGTTCGAAATTCAAAAAAAAACCTAAATATGACAAAAATGTTATGTGAATATTTCCAACACAGAGGCGAAGCGGACACTTGCGATGCAAATCACAAATCGAGGTACAAAATTGTGAATGAAAAAAAAGAACAGGTAGAAAAAGACGAGTCCATCTTCAGCTAATGTTCGAAATTCAAAAAACCTAAATATGACAAAGATCTTATGTGAATATTTCCAAAACAGGCGACGCGGACACTTGCGATGCAAATCACACATCGCGGTACAAAATTGTGAATGAAAAAAGAACAGGTAAAAAAAGACGAGTCCATCTTCAGCTAATGTTCGAAATTCAAAAAATCTAAAAATGAAAAAGATCAAATGTGAATATTTCCAACACAGGTGCAAAGCGGACACTTGCGATGCAAATCACACACACACGCGATACAAAATAGTGAATGAAAAAACACAAGTAAAAAAAGACAAGTCCATCTTCAGCTAATGTTTGAAATTCAAAAAACCTAAATATGACACAGATCATATGAGAACATTTTAAACACAGAGGCGGAGCGGACACTTGCGATGCAAATCACACACACACGCGATACAGAATAGTGAATGAAAAAATACAAGTAAAAATACAAGTCCATCTTCAGCTAATGTTCGAAATTCAAAAAACCTAAACATGACACAGATCATATGTGAAGACTTCCAACACAGAGGCGGAGCGGAGGCAAATCACATATTGCGGTAAAAAATAGTGAAAGAAAAAAATAGACAAGTCAAAATAAATTCTGAAAAATTAAGTTGGAAAAAACTATTTGAAAAAATAACCACAACAGTTGAAAAATTACCGCAACACAAAATGCATATTTGTATTAGATGAAGTTCATTATCAGCCCTTAAAAATAGAAGGCTAGAAACTTTGCAAATCCCCCACACACACACACACACACACACACACACACACGATACAAAATAATGAATGAAAAAATACAAGTAAAAAAGACAAGTCCATCTTCAGCTAATGTTCGAAAGACAAAAAACCTAAATATGACACAGATCATATGAGAACATTTTAAACACAGATGCGAAGCGGACACTTGCGATTCAAATCACACATCGAGGTACAAAATTGTGAATGAAAAAAAGAACAAGTAAAACAGACAAGTACATCTTTAGCTAATGTTCGAAAGACAAAAAAACCTAAATATGACACAGATCATTTGAGAACATTTTAAACACAGAGGCGGAGCGGACACTTGCGTTGCAAATCCCACACACACACACACACACACACGATACAAAATAATGAATGAAAAAATACAAGTAAAAAAGACAAGTCCATCTTCAGCTAATGTTCCAAAGACAAAAAACCTAAAAATGACACAGATCATATGAGAACATTTTAAACACAGAGGCGGAGCGGACACTTGCGATTCAAATCACACATCGCGGTACAAAATTGTGAATGAAAAAAGAACAAGTAAAAAAGACAAGTCCATCTTCAGCTAATGTTCGAAATTCAAAAAAAAACCTAAATATGACAAAAATGTTATGTGAATATTTCCAACACAGAGGTGAAGCGGACACTTGCGATGCAAATCACAAATCGAGGTACAAAATTGTGAATGAAAAAAAAGAACAGGTAGAAAAAGACGAGTCCATCTTCAGCTAATGTTCGAAATTCAAAAAACCTAAATATGACAAAGATCTTATGTGAATATTTCCAAAACAGGCGAAGCGGACACTTGCGATTCAAATCACACATCGAGGTACAAAATTGTGAATGAAAAAAAGAACAAGTAAAACAGACAAGTACATCTTTAGCTAATGTTCGAAAGACAAAAAAACCTAAATATGACACAGATCATTTGAGAACATTTTAAACACAGAGGCGGAGCGGACACTTGCGTTGCAAATCCCACACACACACACACACACACACACACGATACAAAATAATGAATGAAAAAATACAAGTAAAAAAGACAAGTCCATCTTCAGCTAATGTTCCAAAGACAAAAAACCTAAATATGACACAGATCATATGAGAACATTTTAAACACAGAGGCGGAGCGGACACTTGCGATTCAAATCACACATCGCGGTACAAAATTGTGAATGAAAAAAGAACAAGTAAAAAAGACAAGTCCATCTTCAGCTAATGTTCGAAATTCAAAAAAAAACCTAAATATGACAAAAATGTTATGTGAATATTTCCAACACAGAGGCGAAGCGGACACTTGCGATGCAAAACACAAATCGAGGTACAAAATTGTGAATGAAAAAAAAGAACAGGTAGAAAAAGACGAGTCCATCTTCAGCTAATGTTCGAAATTCAAAAAACCTAAATATGACAAAGATCTTATGTGAATATTTCCAAAACAGGCGAAGCGGACACTTGCGATGCAAATCACACATCGCGGTACAAAATTGTGAATGAAAAAAAGAACAGGTAAAAAAAGACGAGTCCATCTTCAGCTAATGTTCGAAATTCAAAAAATCTAAAAATGAAAAAGATCAAATGTGAATATTTCTAACACAGGTGCAAAGCGGACACTTGCGATGCAAATCACACACACACGCGATACAAAATAGTGAATGAAAGAACACAAGTAAAAAAAAGACAAGTCCATCTTCAGCTAATGTTTGAAATTCAAAAAAACCTAAATATGACACAGATCATATGAGAACATTTTAAACACAGAGGCGGAGCGGACACTTGCGATGCAAATCACACACACACACACGCGATACAGAATAGTGAATGAAAAAATACAAGTAAAAATACAAGTCCATCTTCAGCTAATGTTCGAAATTCAAAAAACCTAAACATGACACAGATCATATGTGAAGACTTCCAACACAGAGGCGGAGCGGAGGCAAATCACATATTGCGGTAAAAAATAGTGAAAGAAAAAATAGACAAGTCAAAATAAATTCTGAAAAATTAAGTTGGAAAAAACTATTTGAAAAAATAACCACAACAGTTGAAAAATTACCGCAACACAAAATGCATATATGTATTAGATGAAGTTCATTATCAGCCCTTAAAAATAGAAATCTAGAAACTTTGTGAAGAAACATGTTAAATCGAAAGCAAAGCTGTTCTCATAAAAAATTTCACAAAAATTAAGTGTTTACGACCCATCCAATTGAAACACATAATCCCTAACGAATATATTTTGCCCTCGAAATTACGCAAAAGAAGTTGACTAAGACGATATAAGATAAATTGAAACTGTTTGGAAAATTAAAAAAAAAGAAAAAATGGAAAAAAAACTCAGACATGGTAAATTTACAAATTTGTGAAACTCAGTCATAATAAAGAGTGATAGTACTTTTATTTAAAATTGAAAAAGAAAGATCCGGTAGCAGTCAAGATCCTGTGGAAAAAGTCGTTTACAGGATAAAAATTCTAGTACCCGATTGTAATACCTTGCTTATCGCAAGGGCAATTACTGCCGAAATGTAGACTTTGGAGAAGCTCATTAATAATTTTCTCACTTTAGGTTATATCAGTTTTCCGACCAACTTTGAAACAAAAACATGTCAGATTTGAAACGTGATTATTTTTAAGTTGAGAGACTATTTTGGTTTACCTTAGCCGATGGATTTCGTTTCTTCAAGCAGATCAAACAGTGGTTCATCCAGAACAACAGAGCATCCTCGATGTCATAGGGAAGCATCTCCTCAATCCCGGTGGCGAACTCCTCGGGACATTCTTTTTGGAAGAGTGTCTTCGTCTGGGCCACCACTCTGCTGATGGGACTGAGGATGATGCACCTGGCCATGATTAGTGACTCGATCAGGGCCACGTGGCTGGCCTGAAGTATTCCAACTGAATGGCTCAACATTTGTTACTATTTATCTCTCTTATTCATGTTTCTTATATAAAACACTGAATTTATACAAAAAAACTTCAATCTGCTACGGACTCAAGACTCCAGACATCTGAATATGAAGCAAACTCAGTTTTGAAGCATATGAATAAGAAAAAGATTCCCTTAAGACTTCAAGAAGAGCTAGGAAAAGGAATCTTAGGTCCAAACATCTAGAAGTAAATTCGAAACATACCACTGCTGAAGAAGTTTTAAAGCATATGAATAAGAAAAGATTCCCTTAAGACTTCAAGAAGAGCTAGGAAAAGGAATCTTAGGTCCAAACATCTAGAAGTAAATTCGAAACATACCACTGTTGAAGTAAAAATGCACAAGTTGCTATCCTTGCTTTGGCGAAGCAGCATATATGAACTTTAACAATTGTTGCATCAGTAAGAGGAATTCAATCTAACCAATCTGAATGGTAGTGTCTGCGACAGCAGTTGCTCAGTTAGAGGTGCCCCCATCATACCAGCAGCCCCTTCCAAATGAGCCCCACTCGCAGCCCCAACGGCTGCCTTTGCATCCCCTTCTGAATTGAGCTGCAGTTGACTACTCTGCTCCATGGGGTATATGCTCCACTTGGATGCAAGTTGGGTGAGGATTGCGGTGTGGTTGCAACTCCACTCCTGGGCATCACAGCTGGCGAAGATGTTACTGCAGGCCAGATGGTACACTTGGCAGGAGACTAGACTGGAGATGACATGGGGCGATAGCACCAATCGACTGTCCTGCAATACAGTTTCATATTGATAACACAGCCCACAGACACAGACAGTTGGAAGAAAAGAATCAATCAAATCAAGTTAACAGAAAAAAAGAAAATGACTTATGGCATTCAAGCTCTTTCAATTTCTAGCACAATTTTTTGATAGAACTACCCCAATTTGAGAAAGTTGGATCAATAGATAAAACTTTTATTTCGCTGGGAAATCTGATAATTAAATTACATTTTCGAAAATAGAAGTCGATCACGTTTTTCATGAATTTTACTTTTGCTGTTTATACTGGATTTTGTCTTCTTTTTAACAAAGGAAATGAATCGAATTTGAAAATAAATCAAAAGTCAAGCCGCGAAAAAGTGCATTTGAGCCTGAACAAATTTAAGACTTTTCATGGAAAAAACGGATAAAAATCATCGCGACCTCAAAAGAGTCTGAACTACGTACAGCGATTCTTATACAGTAAAAAATCAATAAAATGAATGCTCGTTATTTATAATTTATTTTTCTCGTATAAGTTTACTATCAGATAAGTTTCAACAAAAATTAAAAAGATTGCGCATTTCAAGAGCTTAAGAGTTAATCATAGCAGCCAACAGAAGATTGGCGAAAAGCTCATGAACTCAATAATAACTTTCTATTCCATCTACAATTTTGCTATCCCAAAATTACTGCCATTGACTTCAAATAACAAACTGAATTTTTAATTTCAGTCTCTTTATTGAACCTCGACAATTTCCCTTCTTAGCTCTCACCAGCCAATTTAGAAAAATACTATTTTGAAGGATCAATTGCGCAATCTCCCCCCCCCCCCCATTCTCGCGTGTGGGGGGGGGGGGATAGCTCAATAGGTACTTGAGACATGTTTATAACCACTTCAAAATTGTTTGAATGATATGAAATCATAAATCAGATTCTTCAACGATAGTGGAACGCCAAAATTTGCAATATCAACGCTCAAAAGTTAAATGAGTGAAAAAGGATCAATGAAACTGAGACGACTTTAGTCGCATAAAGCGCCTTTTTTCTGTCCTAAATGGGAAAAAAAAACAATTTTAATGAGCTGCGGAGAACAGTTTTTGATATAATGTTACAGATACAAGGCTAGAGCACCAACCCTAGTAAGTCGCTTTGCTCGTTGAGGCAATGGTCGCCCAAACAAAATGTAAGTCGCTTTGCTCGTTGAGGCAATGGTCGCCCAAACAAAAATTTGCAAAAAAAATTTTGAAATAAACTTTCTTTTTAAAAAGTTTTTCTTTTAAAAATTTTTTCTCGATACTCATATAAAATAAACTTCAGTCAGTCAATTGATAGCGTGCTACGAACACATTAACTATCTAATTGCGTTTGATGGCGTCTTTTTGTAGCGTTACACCGTTTTTGCTTGGGGGAGATTGCTCACTTGATTCATTTTGAATTCTACTAAGTGAGGCTTAATATCTGAATCTGATGTTAACACATTTAGTAATTTACTAACATTGCCTATGTAGAATGGAGTCCCAAATGAGTCAGGCAGACCCTCGGGGTAGGCACAATTTAGAATCCACTTTATATGGTGTGCAGTCTGCGCTCTGCTAGCATCGTACAAACTCTGCGGCAGAACCTTGACCGGGTCCAAGATGAAACGACCCGTATCTTCATTGATTTGTAGCTCCATGTGAACAAATCGTGGCGAAGTTGAAGTTAGAACACGTGAAAAGAAATGAACCCAAGATGGCAACAGGAAGACATTTGAAGACACGCGTCGAAAACTTGGACAAGCAAAAAAAATAAAGATAAGTCTATTTATTTACACAACTAATCTGAAAAGACACCGTTTTCCACAGATTAAACAGCCAAGCCGAGTTACGCTCTTCAATTCAAGGCTTCACTGAATAGTTTTTTTTTCATTTTCAAAAAGGAACCTATCAATAGAGTTCACGATGCAAATAATCCGATGAAAATAAACACTGCACGCCTTACGTCGCAGTTAGACAAGTTTTTAGACCTCATTGCGGCTTTCGACAACTCTGATTGGCTGAAAAGTGTTCATCATTCGGTTACTCCGTCGTAAGAATACCCCTCCTATGCAAAAACTGACAGTTACATTAAATAAACTACTGCTCATTGAGACGATAATGTGAGAGAGACTTGTGGGTAATCACTTTTTTTCAAGCCGAAGACATTTCAGGCTCAATTTTACGCGGTACTAGCAATTCAAAGCAGTCAAATATTGTCAGAAATATGGTAGTTTAAGAAAACTTCTCTTGCCAGTTAGTCCCCGCAGAGATACCGTAAATAGTATATGAGAGAAAATAGTTACAACAAATACTATTTAATAACTGGTTTCGACTAATCAAGAAAAAAAATTGTTATGATAAAGAATAAAGTTTATTTTATATGCCAGAACAGAAGCTATGAAACATGAATGGCTTTCAAGGTACTCATCCTAATAATGGCTATCAACAGTTCATTCAGAAACTAGACTGACACAGCTTCAGTCGAAAACTAGGAATTCAGCAACTATTATCTGATCAGTTTGAACTAAAATTATACATCCCTTCAAACCCTTTACTTGTTATCACCACCAGCCTTAAGTTCCCCGGAATATCCGCCAGATAACACTTGAGATGTATGGTCCCGGAATAGAAAATATCATCCAAGACCCATCAAATGCATCTTTCACCCCTTCGAACGATTTTACCGAATTTAGTTCTTTCGCCTCTCAAAATAATAAATCGATTTCAAAACAACTGCATAGTAAAAATGTCGAGCAAGCTATTGCAGATGCTCCTCCTCCAAAAGTACTTCCACTCAAACCTCCCGATATCTCATCTTCTGAAGAGTCCCTCCCTCGCGGCACCAGGCGAACCCTTGCCCAAATAAGATCCGGCTATAGTCCCATCCTAAACACTTACCGAAACAGAATAGACCCAAATGTCCCCCCAAAACTTGCCCCCACTGTACTTCCCCCCACGCCACTTTGCTTCTCTTTAACTGTTCCAAGAACACCACTACTCTAACCCCAATTTAACTCCGGCTTCGGCGGACCGAAGTAGCCAAGTTTCGAGGACTCGGTTTGAGCATGCCGGACGCAACCACTGGGGTTAACAACATCAACAGAAACTCAGCAATACACAGCGACAAAAAAATTAGATAATGAGATGAGCTGGTTATTTTGGGATAAAAAAAGGGATATTTTGAAACAACATAGCCAACAGACAGTTCGAAAAGTATCAGTAAACACAAGAAAACAACAAAAAGTGCCCTTAAGCTCCTCAAATTTCAAAAACAACTTATGATTGACAATTTTGTTTGTTCAAATTTAACCAATTTGAGAAGCCAGAAACATATGGTTATTGTTTCATTCCACTGACAAATCACAAACTGACAGTCACTTTTGATGCTGTACGCCCTTCGCGTTTTATCGCGCTATTTGCACACTCGTAATTGGTGAGCCTAACTTGCCTTCCTTTTAATTAACTATGTTGATTTGAACTTAAAAAGAAGTCTCGAGATAAACAGCAAAACAATGCATTTGGACTTTTGCGTGTAAAAAAGTACTGTAAATAAGTATTTTTACTTCGTTCAATGACAAATAGAAAAGATGGCCAGCTTCTGTGCCAGTTGGAGAGGATGTTCTGAACAAATTCGTTAACACAGAGGCGAAGCGTAGCTTCGCGCCATTTGCGATACAACACTAACATAACATAAAAACATCAAAAAGCTTGAAATGAAAATGTTTGAAAACAAATTAGGTCATATAAACTTTCATCTCTGTCGATAGAAGTATACTCCAGGCAAACATGCCACACACTTAACTTAAAATCCACAAAAAAGAACAAAATTTACGAAAAGAAACAAAGCCGACAATCTTTGAGCAGACACAAGTTGAGCCGAAAAATGTGATTTTATATAAAAAAGTAAAATTCCCACCTGAAACAACAACAGACAACAATTGCACTTGCAATTATAATGAAACGGAAAGTGGTTTACAGCACAAGAAAAATCAGGGATGTGGCAGCTCAGCCAACAATCTTTGAGCTAAGACCACTTGAACAAAAAAAAAGTTTTTTTTTTAAATCTTTCAACTCTCCCTTGAAACTAGAAAGAACGCACTTGCACTTGCAACTTCAATGAAAAATGCTTCCAGCAAAAATGAATGTGGCAATTAAACCGACGATCTTTGAGCAGAAACCAACTGAATCGATAAAAAGGGATTTTACGAAAAACTTTAAAAAATCTTTTAAGTCCCACCTTGAAATTAGAATGTACAACATTTACACTTGCAGCTACCAGGAAAATTGTCTACAGCACAAAAAAACCGTTGTGGCAATTTAGCCGACAAAATCTGACCGAACAAACAAAGAACCAACTATTCATTTTCCTCGGAACTTTTTTTTTCAATTTCCTTGATACTGAAAAACAAAACAAGATCCGGCCACGACTCGAACCCCAGACCTTAGGGTACACAGGCAACTGTTTTACGTCCAGGCCACAGCATAGGAAGGAACAACCTGGCACATGTTAAGAGAAAGTAAGAAGAAAAGTGAAGAGAAGATAAGAAGAGAAGTGAAAAGAATTTATTCAACTGATTTTGTTAAACTTAATGTTAACCCGGAAAAAAGTCTATATTCCCGTTTGATAACGCTTGCTAATCACAACCTTAAGAATACTACAAAAAATGGTTTCTTTTTTCTTCTTCGAATTAGCTACATTTTTTGTTCGTGCTGCGATGCGAGAAATATGCAAACGCGTAAAATATAGGTGCAGTAGGCCCAATCGACATTTGTCTTCACTCTCAAAAAAGCGCTAAAAACTTCCACAACTAAATTTCCTTTTATTAATATCAAGCTTTCTCAGCCTAAATTACCAATTTATAATGGATAGTTTTACTCCCTCGACATTAGACTTACACCGGTTTTTCCCGCAACTGGGACAACTTGTAGGAAATTTTAAGTCACTCGACTCAAGGCTGAAAAGGCTTCAATATGATATATCTACCCTTTCCCATGATTCCGATGTTATGTGGTAACAGATTTTGTGCGGAAAAACAATCTTCTAAACACACATCCGAATACAAAGTTTCTCCCCACTTTCAATGGTCGGAACAACAACATTGCTCAAAAAAGCCCTAAATGCTCCGACTGTCCCTTAATCGGTATCAAATAGTTGTTCAAAATCCATAACATCAGGTTTGAAAAATTTAGTAGTACGAAATTTTTACTACCGACTAGCTTACTTCAATTCAATTTGGAAAAATTTTGTCGTGCGCGATAATTCGGTACGAATAAATAAATCGTGTTACGCTTTCAACCTCATTAACAAAATCTCAACAGCGCGCATCAATTAGCCCAGAGCATGGCCAAATAGGCAATTTTCAAACCGCCAGAACTTTTTCAAAAAAAAGTCGAAGGTAAAATAGTCGAAGGTAAAAGGAGACGATATCTTTGCTGGGAAAAGTTTCCGGTGGTAAAAACAAGTTGTTCTCCGAAATTTGACCGAAAAAAATATCACCCCAAGCATAAATATTCACATTTCTTCTAAGTCAGAACAATAATCAACAAAATTAAAAAGAAGAAGACTTCAAGGTTTGAAGATGCTCCTTTCATTTCTTGAGTTATCTATTTACTGCTGCGGTACGATCTACCCTAATACCATATACGCAGCCTCTTCAACCTTATTAAACAAAGCTACGAAGTTGACTCTATATGCGCGAAAGCATTACGCGATATTTGCACAGGTCTACAGCAAAACTGTATGTCCACTCAATTAACAATGCACTTCATTGTGCGGTTTCCCACCCATCCCTGACACAAAGAAGCATAAGTATTTCAATTGACATTATGACCATTCCATTGGCTAGTTTCCGAGAAACTTCTCACAAAATATCATACAAAGATGAATAACTTTAAGTGATTAAATTATTGAGAGAATGAACAGTCAATAATACTGGGTGTTTTTACTTATTCCGACCAAAATAACTTAACAGCACTTCAATACAAAACTTCAGTTCACGATTTTCCAGTTTTTGTACTAGTTCCACTGGGGACATGGTGCTCGTTGAACATGGCAGCCAATTTTCCATCATCATCTAGCTCCTTTACCTTGCTCGAATCTCCGATGAATTTCCCTTCAAGAAATAGCTGAGGTACAGTTTTGATTCCCGACAGTTTGCTGATGTGTTTTAGAATAATATTCCTTTTTGCGTGCGTGTCTAGCTCTACAATTTTGAATTTGTAGCCAGTATTCTCCAGTACTTTCTTCGCATTTTTACAAAAAGGACAGTAAGTCTTGGAAAATAGAACCAGTTTATTGCTCTTCAAAATTTCTGTCAGAAATTCTGGAGTTTTTTCATTGGTACTTGACAGTAAGGATCCCATAGTTGAAATGAAACCGAGGGTAAAAGTATGGTTCTACAAAATTTCTAAATTCAGTTTCATGCTTTAAAAAATGAAACAATGATTTTTTTGTTTCACCCGCGCATAATATAAATTAAGCAGGATATTAACAACATTGACAACCAAAATTTAAGTTTCCAAGTAAGGAAGTTACAATTGAAGTCATTGTTATGTCAACAGTCAAAATATTTTATGCGGTGAAAGAAGATGATTCCAAAATCAGCTCGCTAGTTATGAACATGGTATTAATTACGATGGTATTTTTTTTCTGAAGTTCGCTATAGTTAATTTATGCTTAATTTTATCACGCCACCCAGAAAAAACTACACTAATTTGAAAAAAAAAAAAAAAAATTTCTTGTAGTTTTTTTTAAAAAAATTATGTCTGAACATTCTGTGAACTATCCTTGTTAATATTTGCATACGTTAGTAAAGATCACTAACTTTCTGAGCAACCATCAAGACCGGTTGCCAGCTTGACGCATATTTAATTTAACTCATGAACTGGCGTTTTGAACTGAAAGAGATCAAAGCTATCAGCTTTGGTACAACAAATAATTAGCCGAGCCCAGCGCCTTTGTCTTCCCTGAAGTTTACAAGTTCCCAAGCATGGGTGCGTGTTATCTCTAGACTAAATTAGCACAAACCTGCATTGGATTTGAATTTATAATGAAGCACGCAAAATCTCAAATGCAAATTCTGTTTACGGGAAAATGAACCCTAATCGGAAGGGTATTTAGTATTTAAATCGAAACCAATCAAATTTTTCAAAAAAAACAGTTATTACATACTGTTTTCTCCGTGTCCCTGAAGTTTAGAAGTTTTTGTTTTGAATTTTTTACTCGCCAGCCGAAACAAAAAAAACAACCCTACGCGGTGAACTGTCAATTTGGCGAAAAGGAAATAAGATCAATCAATTGTAATGAACTATTAGAAATAATTAAAATAATTTTGGAGTGAAAAGTGAAATGAATTCCAATTGCATCTTTAAAACAGAAAACGTTGAAACTTGTCTCAGCTGCAGAGACAACCATCTGAAATAAATCGAAGAGACACTTGTGTCTTGTCTCACTTGCCAAGATAAACAAATTTCATCAGAAGAGAGTTTCGGCAGACTGAACTTTCAGCATGTTGACATGCAACCCCCACCTTATTTTTAATCTCATATTGAGGAGGGCTTCAATGTAAAAGGCCGACATTATTTAGCTGATTTGGTCCCTCCTCAAAAATGGAGTGCACCTATCAAAATTGTGTTAAAAGTGTTTATTCTAACTACCACGCCAAGTTTTTTCAAAAAGAGTAGGAACCAATCAGACAAATTAACTTGCTGAGAGATGAAGAAAACTAACATGGGCACTTATTTGGCTCTGCAAATGGGTGGAGATACTGATAGATAAAGCATATGTGCGGCGGCACAAACACAGTTTCATAGCAGTTCTTCACTAGTGTCTTTGCCTTTTTAATTAGCAGCAAATACCCGATTCATATATTCATAAGCAACAATATTCATTGTTGCAATATTATGCTTATGTAACAAACTAATGTATCCGATCAGTACCAAACTTTATCCGATTTGAAAATATTCTACAACTTTTTTTCCTTTTTCTGTTCAATTTTCTACAAAAACTGTTCTCCAATTTACCTATTTCATTATGGCCGTCGAGTATGCCTAAATTTTAGAAAAACGCTTGTTTGTGTTTTTTGAGACTATTGTCGCAACATTCTGCGCTACTTGCGAAGTTACCGGCTATCCAGGTTTTCAATTGTATATGTTGTTTCGTTATGTAAAAATGAGTAATACAGCCTTTTTCTTCATAGATAGCGGAGCTTCTCATCAATTTCGATATCGCACAATCGTAACTTTACAAGCTAGAGAGAAAAAAAAGGAAAGCCATGAGTGAAAATGAGGGAAAATGTCAAACCTATATACAAAAATTTCATAACTTTGTCTCATGATGTTCAATTTGAAAAAAAAAAACGTCTACAAGTACAGTCGCCGGCGAAAAATGAGCATTTAGAACTTTGATCGAGCGGCAAGTGGATAAAAAAACATGGGTCAGCCGAAAACAAAATTGTTGTCGTGAAAAATAGAGCTTTACTGTTAAGTTTTTAAGTTCTGAAAAACTAAGTTTTATCCTTTAGTGTATTTCCGGAGAGGGGCGATAAAAAAAATATATTTCTCTTCAACGACGCAAAATAAGTCCACTAAGCCCAGCCGATAAAGCCTGAGAAGAAATCGACTAGACAAAAATTAAGCTTATATCGAAAGAAAAATTGTCAACATACAGCCCAAAACGAGTCAATGAATGCAAGTTGACAGGAAAAAAATGTTTTTGAAAAAAACTCCATTTTCGAAATTCGAAGAAAAAAATAAATGGCTTTAAAGCGCTTCGAGTTTCTATGATAGCCTATTTTTGGCACTTTTTGACATAAACCCAATTTGAGAAAACTGGATCAATACGTAAAAATTTTATTTCGCTTGGATATCTGATAATTAAATTTTATTTTCGAAGCTAGAAGTCAATCATATTTAAAACTATGCTGTTCGGTAGTGGAGTTTGCTTTCCTTTCAATAAAAAAATGAACTGAACTTTAAAGAATTAAAAGTCAGACCGCTTTAAAGTGCATCAAACAGACCTCCGGTGCATCAAACAGATTTGAAAACGTGAAAACTGCTTATATATATTATTTATGAAAAAACAACGAAATCTATGCAACTGTACCAAAAGACGTGGGTATCTAAATGCGCTTTTCTGTTTAAAAAATGAACGCTGAAAAAATTTCAACTGAGGTTCTTTTAAAACTAAAATGTTCAAGTTTTTCGCAATTTTTTTGAAAGTTTTTGAAATAAAATGAAAAATCGTTCAAAAACCTCAAATATCGAAAACTAAAAGCATTTGAGCATTCCTATTTGGTGACAAGACTTGCAACGCCTAGGTGTACCCTGACAGCGCCTCAATATAGAGATGAAAACTTCAAAAGAAATTTTTAATTTTTTCAAATCCAAGTTCTTAAAAAACGTCATATCTCGAGAAATACAAGGATTCGAGCAGTCATATTTGAAGGCAAGATTCGCAAAGCCTGATAGTACCCTGACAGCACCCAGATTCAGGATTGAGAATATCAATTTTCATGAAATTTTCTAATTTAGTTTTTCTGAAAATTTTCGAAACATCCTCAAAACATAGCCAATGGAAGATTAGAAAAGAAAAATGAACGCAAATAAACATAAAAAAACGGACTTTGTTTAAAAATCTAAACTGTCGAAATAAAAAAAATAGATGCCCTTTAAGCTCTTTGAATTTCTGCAACGATTTGATTGGCGTTTTTTTGATAACATGAGAAAACTGAATCAACAGGTAGAGTTTCCATTCCGCGGGAAATCTAAAAATTAAATTCCACTTTGGAAACTAAAAATCGTTCAAAAATATTTGCACCATTTGCACGTTCGTATTTGGAGAGTGCTATTTACGTCATTTTCAGCAGATGAATTTCAATTGAGCTCAAAAAGTACATATATACCTAAATACATCAATATCTTAAAACTTTTTCCTGAAAAAAAATCATTTCTCTTAAAAAGGTCGTATCTCGTAAACTAAAATGATTTGGGCATTCACAATTGGAGAAACCCGACAGCATCCCACTATTGGTAGCTAATTTCAAACTTAGTGAAATAAAAACTAAAATCAAACTGGAAAATCAAAAAATAATTCTTAACCCTTGCCTTCCAATACACGATATGGCTTAAACGTCAAAAAGTTCTTCCGTTAAACCTGCAAAAAATACGTTGAAAAAGCTCAAAAATGGCGAAATAGATTTTTCATTAAGAAAAACTTAACTCATCACGACCTAAATAAGAGCCTGAACTACGTTCATCGACACTAAAACAAATGAATAAAGGAAAATATACAAAGTCAGGGCAGGGCCTGTATACTTACAAATTACAGGAGTAAAAATGTAGTAGAGAAACTACTTGCAGCTACAATACAAATTGCTGATTGCTTTGATCACAAGAAAAATCCTCGATGAGGCAACTTCGCCGAAAACACATTCAGATGAACAATAGGCCGACAAAAAACCAGGTCCTGGCCGGATTAGAACTTAATTCTAGGCCAAAATAACCAGGCCCTGGCTGGATTGCATCTTAATTTTAGGCCAAAAAACCAGGTCCTGCAGTAAAAGAAGTTATCAATTTATTTTGTTAACAACTTTTAACCCGATAAAATTCTACATTCCGATTTGATAATGCTTACTAATCGTAAGCGTAAACAGATACGAAAAATAAAGAACCCAAAAACCATTTTTCAACTCCCGGTCCTAATCTGCAGGGCCATTGGTGGAGGACAGGAGATGTCGTGTCGTCCATTTGGCCGGCCGGGTCCAACCTTGAGGAGGCGGATGACAGATGGGCCCCTCGAGACAGGAGGCGTGACCGAAATGGGATTCGAGGGCACATCTCGTGTTGAAAGCTACACGCCTTACCCCACTGGGCCACGGCCGCTCACCCAAAACCGTTGTGCGTTTCAAGCTTTCAATCACTTTCTTGGGAAACAAAAGCTTTACAATCTATGTGTATTAGTCACCATCAAATTAATTAAAGCTAAGGAACGTATTAATTTGTTAACGCAGAGCAAACATTGCTTGTGACAACAGTCTCACATAACTCTAAGTACATCAGCTGTCAACATCAGCGAGGGGAACCTGGTGGTCTTTGAACATTTGCAAAAGATCTCCTGATTCGTTCAATCTTTTCACTGTACTGCAATCTCCTATAAATTTTCCAACGAGGAATAACTGAGGCACAGTTTTGATTCCCGAAAATTTCGATATCTCACCCAGAAGAGCTTTGCCTTCGGGGTGAATATCCAATTCGATAGCCTGATATGCAAAACCTGTTCTGTTCAAAATACTCTTTGCAACATTGCAATAAGGGCAGTAGGTAGCTGAAAATATTATCAGCTTATTTCTTTTAAATATATCGCTCAAAATATTCAACATTTTTCTGAAACAAATAAACATTCTAAACAATGACAGTCTAATTGACAGACTTCTGAACAATGACAGAACTGTTGTGATAAACTTATTAAATAGAAACATTTGTGCCATGACTTCGTTGAAGGTAATTGCATACCCTCGTGCCCAAGAGAGCACACGCTTTCTTCCAAGGACGAAGAAAAACAGAAAGCGAGCGGCATCAACCCTCATGGAAGAAAGATTTTTGATTTTGTGGGCAGATTTTGTAAAGAAAATAGAGAAAAATTGCTTACAAATGACCCACTTGTTCCACAAACGTGCTGGAAATATAACAAAAGTGTATGCATGCAACCTGATTGTAAGAACCCGCATATATGCGTGTTCACAACAGAAAAATTTAATAGCTGCTCGAATCAAAACTGCAAAAAATACCACGTCCTTTCCACAGGAAAAAAAGAAAACAGAGAAGCTTGTTTCGATGTTTTCTGGAAAATGTCTGGAATTGTATTGTGAGCTGTTTGTTGGAGACTTAGTTCCCTGGACTTTGTTGTCGATGCCAGGGGTGAAAGACAGAACACCTGACTGGCCTCATCAAACCACCGGACACGTGCTCTGCCTGGCTCATTACCAGACAACAACGCCATTTATGATTGTATTTTTCTATCGAACACACCTGAAAGATAAATACCCGAACCTCCAAACGAGTGCTGAAACAGCGTCACCAACCGTGCAATTTTCCATATGGTGCATACTCACGAAAGAGTAAATACGGAATAGAAGGAGCCGTGCAGTGGCACAATGTGAAGCGGGACCACGTTAATATCAGAGATATCCATATTGAGGATTGGACTGCCACCTGGCGCCTCTAGAGTGGTGGCCTTAGCAAGAAATGGATTGGTACACTTCAGCCTTGGAACTACCACCCAACCGATACACCCACCTCGACGAACTCAGGATTAACCCAGCAGTTTCAAAACTTATCGTTATCCGATACCTTACCAGCAACACAGTCTGAAACAGCACCAGCGCTTGCCAAGTTCATGAAAATTTGCTGCACAAGCTTCAAAATTTTGAAGCGGGTGCCTAAGGGAAGTCGTGTCTGTATGGCCAAAAGGCTCACGCACTATCTAGACAAGGTTCTAGAAGCCCCCAGTGATGTTAACAAGAAAAAATTGAATTAAACACAAGAATTAAATATTAAAACTAGCGCGTCAATCGCACCTCCGGTGCTACAAAACCAAGTCTTCAGAAAACAGACAAAACAAATGTCTAGAAAAATTAAAGGATTTGAGCAGTCATACTTGGACTCCAGATGTGCAACCCCTGAATGTACCCTGACAGCACCCCACTATAGGGTTGAGAAATTGAAGTTCGGTTAATTTTTTTATATCTAAGTTTTCTTCAGAAAAAAAAATCATAAAAAACGCCATATCTCGAAAAACAAAAAGATTTGAGCAGTCATTCTTGGACTCCAGACTTGCAACCCCTCAATGTACCCTGGCAGCACCCCACTATAGGGTTGAGAAATTGAAGTTCGGTTAATTTTTTTATATCTAAGTTTTCTTCAGAAAAAAAAAAATATTAAAAAACGCAATTTCTCGAAAACCAAAAAGATTTGAGCAGTCATACTTGGACTCCAGATTTGCCACACTATAATGTAACCTGGCAGCAACCCACTATAAGGTTGAGAAATTGAATTTCGGTAATTTTTTTCACACCTAAGTTTTTTTGAAAAAACAAATGAAAAAAACATACAAAAATCATAAAAAACGCCATATCTCGAAAACCAAAAGGATTTGAGCAGTCATACTTGGACTCCAGATTTGCAACCTCTGATTTTACCCTGACAGCACTCCACTATATTGTTGAGAAATTGAAGTTCCTTTCATTTTTTAATTTTTTTCTAAGCTTTTTGAACAAAAAAATGAAAAAATCTATGAAAATGTTATTTCTCGAAAATCAAAAGGATTTGAGCAGTCATACCGAAACTCCAAATTTGCAGCCCCTGATTGTACTCTGACAGCACCCTACTATAAGGTTGAGAAATTGCAGTTCGGTTATTTTTTTTTATATCTAAAATTTTTGAAAAAAATAATTACAAAAAAAATCATAAAAACACCATTTCTCGAGAACCAAAAGCATTTGAGCAGTTATACTTGGACTCCATCTTTGCAACCCCTGAATGTACCCTGACACCACCCCACGATAGAGTTGAGAAATTGAAGTTCGGTATATAATATCTCAGCGGACCCCGACGCACACAGTGCGTCCCGTAGCTTATCCTAGCCATGCTGAGATGAGTCGGATACTCTTGCTACCTGGTCACTTAAAGGGAGCGTGTAGTGCATACGACATCCCACCTTACGTGACCAGCTTGGATCCTATAGGGGCACCACTCCTATTCAATCCCACTCGTTGGCCCAGGGTCATCATAGATAGCCCACAGGGATAACTTAAAAGGTCTCTGGCTTAGACCGAGGTCTTTGGCTTAGACCGATGAGCATAGCTCATGCACTACTTGGGCAGGAATCTCGTATCGCCAGCTTTCTTTCCCCTACTAACAGACAGCTAGGAAAAACCGATAACCCGCTGTCAGCACTCGGGTCCATACTAACCGGCAACTTAAGATCCTTTAACAATCGCCGGTAACTATAGAACATAGCTACCGCTTTGAGGGAAGAGTATCCCTAAAACTCCTTTAAACAGAAGGGTTTTTACACGACTATGCAAGCATAGACCTCCGCCGAACACGGAGCCGTACAAAGTGTCGATAGACGTACGGGAAACCAGCCACTGGTCAGACCAATGACAGGAGGGGCATGCGCAAACACAAAGATGTCGGGTATCCCCCAAGGCTCACATTTGCCGAAGCAACGCTCCCCTTGGTTCGCACCTACGTCTCTAAGCACTGGGCAATGCGGCGTGTGACGTTAGCAGAATTGGCCTCGTTTGATGAACCGTCGGTGTTATACTGCAAACTCCACACAGTATAACGCGCAGGCAGACAGGAAATACAAATACCTGCCCGACAGTCCAAAAGCTCAGACCAATTCCCCAGGATGCACCGGGGTAGATCCGATTACTGCGGACCACACCGCAAAGGACTACACCACTCGAGGAGGTGCCACACTAATACATCCCAAAAGCATTTGAGCAGTTATACTTGGACTCCATATTTGCAACCCCTGAATGTACCCTGACACCACCCCACGATAGAGTTGAGAAATTGAAGTTCGGTATATAATATCTCAGCGGACCCCGACGCACACAGTGCGTCCCGTAGCTTATCCTAGCCATGCTGAGATGAGTCGGATACTCTTGCTACCTGGTCACTTAAAGGGAGCGTGTAGTGCATACGACATCCCACCTTACGTGACCAGCTTGGATCCTATAGGGGCACCACTCCTATTCAATCCCACTCGTTGGCCCAGGGTCATCATAGATAGCCCACAGGGATAACTTAAAAGGTCTCTGGCTTAGACCGAGGTCTTTGGCTTAGACCGATGAGCATAGCTCATGCACTACTTGGGCAGGAATCTCGTATCGCCAGCTTTCTTTCCCCTACTAACAGACAGCTAGGAAAAACCGATAACCCGCTGTCAGCACTCGGGTCCATACTAACCGGCAACTTAAGATCCTTTAACAATCGCCGGTAACTATAGAACATAGCTACCGCTTTGAGGGAAGAGTATCCCTAAAACTCCTTTAAACAGAAGGGTTTTTACACGACTATGCAAGCATAGACCTCCGCCGAACACGGAGCCGTACAAAGTGTCGATAGACGTACGGGAAACCCGCCACTGGTCAGACCAATGACAGGAGGGGCATGCGCAAACACAAAGATGTCGGGTATCCCCCAAGGCTCACATTTGCCGAAGCAACGCTCCCCTTGGTTCGCACCTACGTCTCTAAGCACTGGGCAATGCGGCGTGTGACGTTAGCAGAATTGGCCTCGTTTGATGAACCGTCGGTGTTATACTGCAAGTTCCACACAGTATAACGCGCAGGCAGACAGGAAATACAAATACCTGCCCGACAGTCCAAAAGCTCAGACCAATTCCCCAGGATTCACCGGGGTAGATCCGATTACTGCGCAAAGGACTACACCACTCGAGGAGGTGCCACACTAATACATCCCAAAAGCATTTGAGCAGTTATACTTGGACTCCATATTTGCAACCCCTGAATGTACCCTGACACCACCCCACGATAGAGTTGAGAAATTGAAGTTCGGTAATTTTTTTCACACCTAAGTTTTTTTGAAAAAACAAATGAAAAAAACATACAAAACGCTATTTCTCGCAAACCAAATGGATTTGAGCAGTCATACTTGGACTCCAGATTTGCAAACCCTGAATTTACTCTGATAGCACCCCACTATAGGGTGGGGAAATTCAGGTTCGGTTATTTTTTTAATATCTAAATTTTTTGGAAAAACTAAAAAATCACAAAAACGCAATTTCTCGAAAACCAAAACAATTTGAGCAGTCACAATTGAACGCCAGATTTGCAGCTCCTGAATATACCCTGACAGCATCTCATTATAGGGTTGAGAAATTGAAGTTCTAGTTTTTTAAATCTAGTTTTTTTATATCTAAATTTTTTTTAAAAAAATTATGAAAAAATTATAAAAAACGCCATATCTCGAAAACCAAAAGATTTGAGCAGTCATACTTGGACTCCAGATTTGCAACCTCTGATTGTACCCTGACAGCACTCCACTATATTGTTGAGAAATTGAAGTTCGTTTAATTTTTTAATTTTTTTCTAAGCTTTTGAACAAAAAAATGAAAAAATCAATGAAAATGTTATTTCTCGAAGGATTTGAGCAGTCATACCGAGACTCCAAATTTGCAACCCCTGATTGTACTCTGACAGCACCCTACTATAAGGTTGAGAAATTGAAGTTCGGTTAATTTTTTTTTATATCTAAAATTTTTGAAAAAAAATAATTTAAAAAAAATCATAAAAACACCATTTCTCGAGAACCAAAAGGATTTGAGCAGTTATACTTGGACTCCAGATTTGCAACCCCTGAATGTACCCTGACAGCACCCCACGATAGAAATGAGAAATTGAAGTTCGGTTATTTTTATTTATATCTGTTTTTTGATT